GACAGAATTCTTGGAGCAGTCGCGGATCATCAGGTTGACGTCGTTTAGCTATATTGTTCCAGAAAAAAAGCTATATATATAGCCGCAATGAAAATCCTATGACAAACAAAATCGTAGTCACATTCATTCGTACATTAGGCTCACGGTAGCAAATTGAGGACATTCTTGGAACAGTTGTGGATTCGCAAATTTCAACTGCATGTCTTGTACCAGAAAATGTTGCTAGATATCCACGTGGAAAGCCAGTTCTGTCGTAGCTATATATGATCTCACCGAAAAAAAAAATACAAATCGTACAAAAAATGTAATCGTGCACCTAAACGTTGACATATGTATGGAAGGTGTGGGAAAACATGACCACGCAGTGTCCCAGTCAGCTATCAGATAACATAGACGTTATGTAAACATACGGTCATTATCTATTGTGCAGGGGAGACGGTGGATTTGTGCGCCGCAACATCCAATGTCGCTTTTAATTTGATAATTGCATAAAGGTCACTGACGGCGTTTCGTCAGATCAATTATGCTTGCGCAGATTTCTAGGTAATTGCCTGTACATATGTTTGGCTCTGTGCAGACGTGTTTCCGAGTAAACTTTCAACTAAGACCAGAGTAAGGAGTGTGAGAAAGCAGGGAAAATAAAGGAAATGAAAGTTAAAGATTCTGGAGGTTGATGAATTGAAAAGTTTGCCTTGGTGTCATCCTATTGGTATACTCGCTTAGATTAAAGGTTCCAGAAAAGGTTATTTCATTTCCTATATCTTATTTCCGGCATCCTGCCAGAAGCATTTGCCAGAAGCCATTGCAGGGAACAGGTAGTCTCTACCAGACTAACTACGCTGGCTATATATAGGAGAATGTTTGACAGGGAAGTTTGGCCGCCTTGAGGTTTGACTGGGGAGGGAAAGAAACTACCTCCCCACGGCCGGACTCCTCTGATCAATTTTTACTCTCCTTTTTGCCGACTTCTACGATCCGTATTCCCGTAGAAAGGCCTGGTGGAGGCTAGGGAACAGGTAAGAACATGCATATAGAATAAAATTCCACAGACAAGAGATGAAGTCTTCCATTCAGTTCTCTGTGAACTTGACGGACAATCTTGGCGAACTTTCGCACGACTTCATAATATCAATTATGCAGACTGAAATATGATATACCGTGGGAACGTTTTGAGGATCGACAGGAATCCGATAAGAGCTATTGTCCCGGAGTCAAGATAGAACGGCAATTTTAATTGGATCGATGTTCCAAAACGTCCTGCGGGCTTTGGTGCGTCACCATGCTCGGCACGTGACCTGCAGGCAATATCCGCGCTACAGGTGTCCGTCTGTTCTGCGCAAGTTGCGGAAAGTATATATATATACACATTACCAAGGAGCTTTCTATATCTAGTGAAAGCTCTTTGTACATTGTATTAGCAAGGAGGTTTCGATTTCTATTGAAAGCTCATTGCTAATATTTGGAAGCTTGATCGTCATATATGTCCGTGCGTTGTTACTGGCTTCATCAATTGCATTGCACTATATATATTGAAGGGATGGAAAGACTTGTTCAATACCAGCTCGTCGTAAAACAATGACAGGAATCGAAAATCTTGAATTCCGGGAATTTCTTGTTTTATTCATTATTGAGAATTTCACGTTGATTCTGTTTCTTTCCCACTGGCTGTCATTTCCCCACTGGCTTCCGTACGACAACATGTACAGCCATAAAGATAGCAGGGTAATAAATGATAGGAAATGAGATGACCTTTTCTGGGACCATTGATCTAACTTCCTCTCAGTCGGTGTCCCCGACGTGCATGTGGAAATAACTACGGAAACACAAGCAAACACACAGACAGACACACCTAAATCAAAACCTATGTACACAGAGGTAACAACAACAGACAGGTGTGTCGGGATATCCAAGGCTTACAATCAAATTACTGATAAAAACCTCGCCTGGTTTAGGTGCTTTATTAAACCTCCATTAGTAGAGCCTGGTTATCGAACCGATTTTTGCTGCCGAGTCTCTTTCTGCCTTTCGTCCTATTTACGGAGAGGACGGAAGAGGCTCGGCAGCTGAAGCCGATTTGGTAGAAACCGCAACAGCGCTGCTTCTAATTATGACAAAGCACAACTACTAATTATGGCCATAAATCGTATGGTGTAATAGAATATAGACATATATAACAATGTATAACTCGGACAGCATGTGGGAGTGAATGATAATGGGGATTATTTGCTTGTGTCATTTCTTTCTGTGTTGAAAGTTTCACCCACCAACCAAAAAATGTTTTCTATTCACTTATTTGATATTCAAGTTGCCATTTTTACAATACTTCTGCCTGGAAAAAAATCATACAAAGCAAATGAAGTAGAAAAAAATATAACGGATCTCGGTGGCAAATGTACATATGTTTACACATTGGTGCACCAAATCAGTGGTGTGATTTTGGCACACATTTAGATAGATTAGCCTGGGAGGCTCGGTGGGCGTCAGTCCACCGTACAGGTGGGGAAGTCGTAAAGTGCCTTTCCCAAGGGCACAACGTCGGGCCACGGTGAGTATCGAACCCGGGACCTATTGGTTCTGAGTCCAACGCTTTAACCGTTGCGCCAGGACGCCACTTAAAAACAGTTTTCTATTATGATTTGATATTCTACCATTTCTACAAGCTAGACTTCCGCCTGGAAATACATTTTATACAAGGAAAATGAAGTAGAACAAAGAAACATGTCCTTGACATGGAACCGACTTTCCCACGTTAATAAAACAACAAAGACCCTGCGTGTGTTCACGGGTGGGAGGGGTGAACTAAGGTGAGATTATGTGTCACATCAGGTCAGCAGGTAACCTCAGGTCACCGACCTTAAGGGCATTCAGATAACGACGGCCTTAACGTATATGTATGGCCACAGCAAGTACTGTTTATGGATTACATCAGCGCGCGTATTAATTTTCGCCTGATTTTGAAGGAAGAATTGGGTAAAGATATCTGTCGCCATGCCGAAACGTGGATGGCAGAATATGAAGAGAGGAGACAAGAGAAGGCTCTGATATATTGTTTTGTTGCAGTTTGATGCAGTGATATATTTCATTCCTTTTGTGATGTTCCCACTGAATCAAAACTATTCATACGATGATTGAAAACTTTATTTTTCAAAGTAAACTTAGCACAACACAACGTATGGGTATCATTTCTTGTTTAACAAGGTTTATGATGTAAAAATTGGCCCGCCTTGTTTTTTTCGCTCTATCGCACTATATTTGGAGTCTGTGGAGGATGTCATCCATAAAATTTACTTGCTGTGGCCTAATAACTATCGACATAACGTTGTATACGTACAGGGAGAGTATGGGGACCTTTTTCTTGGGGCCGGGGGGGATGCCACTTATCTCGAAAAGAGAAATATGCAGATGCATACCGTGAAGTCAGCCAATCTAAAACTTCGTTTTCTTACCATACCAGTGCGATTTTTAATGTGTGTGAAACCGCAGACGTGTATCTGTGGTAAGCATATGCCATTCAGATCCCCGCTTAGTCATTCAAATAACATTTCATTCACTTCAGTAAACTTCAAAACGTTGTACGCTGGGAGCCAACCTTCAATGTACTTCAGCTTCATTTAACGGACCCTCCTTTTTTATCCAGGCAACAATTAGATCTATAGATGATATGTCCATTATTATTAAACGATTTTTGTCGTTATCAAGGCCATTTCTAGAGGTGAGTGAACTCCGTGTTTGTCTAATGGTATTGACTGATTACGATTTTCAATGCTCGTTTCCGATATTTTTCGTACACATCACTTGTTTTCGTCCTTCAAAAACTTCAAAACAAACGTCCAAAATACTCCATGTTCCAAAATTCACCTCACTGATATGTTCCAGACAAAGATTCTACATGGAACGAAAGAGAACAAAACAATAAAACATAGAATGCCCGATGACCTTGTCTCTGAATCCAGATACTTTGGGAAAACTGGTCTTCCTTTTTTCACATGGGATTACGAAGCGGCAGGTGACTTAAGTAGCATTAAAGCGAAAGACACGATAACGATCGAATAAGAAGCGACACGTGGCAGAAATGTACTGATAACTATCAAGGTTCTACCTGTAGGTAGTTACGTATTGTCAACTTTCTGGGAACCGTTTGGTGTACAGTGTCCACCGGTATACACACTTAGTTCAGGCCACACTGACTTCATTGTATGGATGACAGCCTTTGGACACCAAAATTAATGCGCACTAAAACAAGAAAAACGTCGTATACAAAAGTATTTTATGATTCTAGCACTACTGTGTCCCAGATCGTTGGAAAGATTCGCTAGTCTTTTAGAACCTTTGGCCCAGAGTTTCTACGAATTCACAAGCTCCATGTGAGACCAAGAATTCTTGAAAAGAATGTTTGTGTTTACTAAATATCGAGCGGGAGTCTGTGATTCCTGTTTTTTTGCTGCATGAGTGAGCGCCACCTGCCGTTTTTTGTTGCAACAACAATGTCGTGTCTTCGTTTTTGTTTCCTCCAGTCGGCGCAACAAGAGCGCGCCATCATGCATTCTTAGTCCGGTGGCGGAGCGTAAAACGGCCGTCATTTCCCTTTCAGAGAAGGAGACAAGTGGCGTTTGACCCTCGGCCCTCACGGAGCAGCGGACCGTTTGTATTGTTGTAGGACTCGAAGGTCTTCATTAAAACGACTCACTTTAATTCTCTGACGCCGAAATCAACAAAATGTCTGTTGCAACGTTTTCGAGACAAAAATAGCGAAATTTGTAAGTGTAAGGAAATACAGTAAATCATTCAGAAAATTTCATTAATGAAAAGCAATCAGGGAAAGAAAGTAAAAAAAAAGTTGCATTGTTTGCATAATGCTTCGAAATATTATGAAAAGCGACTAGCTTTCACATGATTCATAGCAGGCAGTTTTCTTGTAGTTAAGTTAACAATTTATCACTGAAAACAGAATGGACATATTAGAAAAGGTAAAGACTATAGATGAAGGAAATTAAATGAGTATCTTACAAAAGTTTATTCTGATAGAAACTACAAAATAGTTTTGAAGGTATAGATATAATACTACATGTGTACAGTCTTGGTAAAATGATGCTTCAGTCACGAACTCAGGAAACCCACATTGGTCATGGCTGTATCACTATATCGCTAAGTAATATTGGGCAAATTTATTGCTGTGCTATGCATATTGCAGTTCAGTAGTCAGATGCTAGGTGGCATCATAGAGTGGTATGGATGCTGTTTTACAACAGGATGCATAAATACACAACAGCAACCATTCCACAGTATCCTATTGTATAGCAAATCTAGCTATATCTCTGCCAGACACCATAACTGTTAGGCTAGATCAGGAATATAACAGCTGACAAGTTCTGCAGTTCAGTTATGGACTGACAGGTGATTTTCTACCAGCTGACTTCTATCAACCCATATACACACATGAATAAGTCAGCAGCAGGGATTTCTGTTCAGTCATAATCAATCTTAAAGATACTGCAGAAAAATATGCTTAAATTAGACGGTTAGCTGTTTAATCTGTTGTAGTAAGTTTAAACTTTAAACTCTTACAACATGAATTATTTTGGGTATCAAATATTGTTTGAAGCAGAGAGACGAGGATTGAACTTCTGAATGTGTATTTGAGCCCCATAACCAAGGACTGCAAGACTTGAAGCCATAGTTCAGAGCCCTTATATCTTAGGCCAATACAAAAGTATCTGAATGAAAATATTTTCTCTAGGTAGCAGAATATTCTGCAGGGAACCTATTACAATTAGAGGATCATACCAGAGCTAGTATAGGATGATACCAGGCTATTCCTCACCCCCATAAGCAGAACGTACTGCGCCTGCGCAAAACCCAGATTTTTCACGATTTTCGTTGGATTTTTGGTCAACGTTGCATCAAAAATTTTTGCCTGTTGCAGACAATATCTTTTCTGACATAACATTTGGAAACTACAGATGGAATGTTAACCATATATACCCGGGTATATGCAAACAAGACCTTATATGAGACATTCCACCGAAGTGCTATGCACAATACATTATGGGTTTCGTGCAGGTGCAGTACTCTATGCCCATGTGTTCCCCCCATATATTACAAGAGACCACAGCTGCAGATGTGAAGAGACAGAGTCCTGTTCAGTCAGCGTTCTTGTAGCAGACCATGGCGTCCACCTTGTGAATGGAGGTGCTGAAGGAGCGCAGTCTGACCTCCTCAGACTTGGCGATGAAGTGAGGACCAGACTCCTCCCATGTCTCAGGAACCTCCAGGTCTTTGTCTGTGTAGATCAGCAGGTCAAAGGAACCTGGGATGGAGAGGGAGAGAAATTATTATACACATCACAACACAAGCTTTTAGCTAGGGGATGTCTGGGTGTCTTTTGGATTCCCTGTACTGAAAATAAAAACAAATTGGACTCCCTACTTTTTGGTAGGACACCCTATTTTTTTCCACTCGGAACCCCTGTCATGAACACATTGTAACAAGACACAGTGCTAATCTGATAAAAACAATGGACATGATCAAGGTAAATTTCTTTTTACATCCAACTAATATAAGTAGCCCTGGTTCTCAACCCTTCATAGCAAATGTGGCACCATTGTAAAGGGTAACAAAGGGTAACAAAGCAGCTTTCCAAAGATATATCATGCAATACAATTCAGAAAGTAACGACAGATAGTGTTTTTAGAGTTAGACTCACAGTTCTCCTCCAGCAGGGGTAGGAATGTCACCGACGCTGTGATCTGCCGTATCACTGCCTTAATCTCATCATTGATTTCCTTCAGTGGTTTCTCCCGAGGTTTACTGCACACAAAACATACAGCAACTGACTAGATCACACACTTCTAGCAGCCTTCCCAATGCTTTTTAGAGAGAAGGGTCCCATAAAGCCCTGGACAGTGAGAGTTTGTGTTAGTGACTTAGTCCACACCGATTAAATTTTATGGATGACATCCACGCACGCATTGATTTTCGCCTGTTCTAAAAAACCTTGGTGCCTGGTAGCTTCCATGGTAGCTTAGTGACAATAGGGAGCCAGCGGTAACTATGCAGGACAGCAGACAAGCTGCCGAAGCTCCATGGAAGTCAAGAACCCAGTACAGTACTGACTCATAAATGCTGCAAAAGGCCAGCATGTGCCGGATTGTCATGTACTGCTAGTGCTACTGCCGCAAATTCACAATACCAGCTTTGTTCCTGTAGTTTAGCTGCATTCTTTTTTGGCTGGAATTCTTTTTTTATTTGCCCGCGCGCACCAGTTTGGGGGTCTTCAGGGGATGTCATCCATAAAATTAAATCAGTATGGCCTTACACAGACTTCTGTAACTGAGTTTGTCTGGAGTTTGTTGTACTATTGGATGACTGACAGCTGTCATGAGGTAGTTACTTCTGACCTTTCCATCTTGTTTGCCAACAGAGGTCACTACTGTTCACAAGTCATAGTAAAGCTCTCAGAAACACCACTATCAATTTGCTGACCTTTGTACCTGCCATTATGACTAATGACAAGGTTATGCCATCTAATATAGGCCCTGAAACAACATTGTGTGACATGAAATTGCTATGACGTAAATCCTGACGTACCAAGGCCGTTCTTAATCACAAGGCTTTCCTCCTTTCAACTTCTGCACTTCCGTAGTCACAAGTCATGGATGTAATATCGATGTAGTAATTTTGTATTCCAAAATATGGGATGGGTAGTCATTTAGTTAAACACTACCAGAAAAGTGGGTGTGAATACAATACTGCAAGTAACAGTAATTTTGCAAGGCCAAGGGGAAACAATTTTGTGGGCGCTAAAAGAAAGGTCATAAAGGGGTCGCAAAAATGTGGAGGAAGAGTTAATGTACAAAAAGCTTTTGGTAAACTTTCCTAGAAATATTTATTGCACCAGGGATACTACATCAAACCAGACTGGATCTCATTAAGAAAATGGCATATGTAATATTCACCCACTGTGCCGCATACTGATAAGATACAGACAAAACATGTTCATGTATACCAAGATAAACTAACATAGATCCGGTATTTTTTTACCTATCTAGTAACTGCAAATGTTTAATTTATATTTTGAAAGAGTTGCATACACATAATCTATGCTATAGCCCTAAGAATTGTTACCAAATATAAAATCAGACCTCAGAAATACCTGCACTCTCATTCTACTTGCACTATCCTGTGTACGCATGTGATATTTTGAGCCATGCATATTTAAGTTAGATTAGAATGACTTGTTCATCAGTAGTACATGTCTTTGTACTCACCTATCTTCTGCCATTGTCTTGTCACACTCAATGTCAAACTGCCATCTCTCCAGCACCTCTTGTGTATCGATGCTTGTCACCACCACAACCAACTTCTCTACAGTCTTGTCCAGTAGCCAGTCTGAAGGAGGTCAAAATTAAAGCCAGAAAGTTCCATACTAGTAACCTTTTTGAGGCCACAGTGGCAGTGGATTAAAGTACTTGACGGTACAGTACTTTACGGTACGGCCCGGGCTTCCATAGCGATTTGAGCGTGTTTCACCCTAACCATGTGCGCTGCTTTCGAAAATTCTCATACAGAATGCATACATTGGTTCATTTTGCATTGAAACTTTGAAAGGCGTGTTTACTTGAGTGGGTATTACATAAATAGAATACAACACGGTGTATTCCTTATCACCCTCGGTTCAGGCCCTCCCTTGAGTCAGATTGCGGTCAGGCTGATACCTTGGGCGATATAGAATATACCGTGTTGTATTCTATACATGTATATACTGCCCCACAATTGCACACTTGAATCACTATTTCATACCTTGGCATATAAAACCTACAAAAACGAGCCCAAAGATGAGTCCTTTATTTTCTGGGTTGTACACTACCGGTACAACCAAAACTCATCAAAAGTAAAAAGTGTTTTCTAAGATCCCTTACTTCACATTCACCATTCAACGTTTTCTAGTTGTTAACCCAGTTTTGACCTCTTTATGTATTCTGCTTTGCAGCTCTCTGTATCTTAATCACCATGCAGAGGTATTTATTATTCTCCTGGATACCTTCCAACATCATTATCCACTTGATCAAGGGCTCTTTCATCTTGACTAGGACGTAGGAGTAAGTCTCCAGGGTAAAGATGGATCCTGTAAAGCATCTATCATTTCTCTGATACCAACCCTTGATTGGAGAACTTTGCAAGTTACTTTTTCTGTTCATCTTTGAATTTTAAGACCCTGAACTTGTAAATTCATTGGAGTTTGAAGCATTTTAAATTTCATGTCATGGTGAAAGTCAGGATTTTGCAGTATTTTGGCTTCCGAACAACAGTACAGTGTAGTTACACAATGGAGGACAGAACATTGTGGTGGGATAAAAACCTTATAATTTTTTATGCGATAATGTATTTCCAATATTAATCAGAAAATAAATTTACAGTATGTTGCATGTATACATCACATATATATTGCTTGCAGAAAATCATTCTAAATGCATAATTACATATATAACTAAACTAAATATTATCTACAGCAATTGACCAACCTTTCAGTTGCATCAGCACATTGTTTAGGTATGTCTTCAGCTCGTTGTCTGTCGTGACCAATAACGTCAGGCCGTACTTCTGCACACGACTGAACGTTTCCGGCGGGTAGATACCTCGCTGGTACAGGATGGAGTTTATACCATACGCTACATCCAAACAAACAAACATCACAAAACAACATTATTGATCGAAACAGGCTGTCAATAGAATAAAACGTTAGAAAAATTGAAATTTTGGAAAATTATACCCTCTACTATAATTAGAGACAACTGTCTGTCTGGATTGTCATTTTTTAAGAAAAGATTTAATCTCAAATCTAAAACGTTTTTATTACACAAACTGGATTGATTACATGTATATCTGCCTTGTAATTATTTTTTTTCACAATAAATTATTGTAAGCCAAAATTTATATGGGGCCTTTATGATTTTGGAAGCATTTGACTGGTACAGTAGAAAGGGTATGACTTTTTGACACTAGAAATACCGATTATTATGAACAAGAATAATATAACAAATTGTGGATCAAACCTCCTTGATCGGACGCTTTCATCAGAAATATCGTTTGATGGGCGGTATGCAGTACTGCGTGCTACACTACACTTGTCTTGATAATTTGCTTAGTATTTCAGTCAGCGTTTTCCGTCTGAGTTGAAATGATCTCTAATTATTTCCACCTTTATCACACCACGGAAGTGCGTCAGAAACTACGTCAATGCAAACGGAAAGCATAACTATTGCAAGACAGAGAAATCTAAACTAAAAAGGGGGTTGCATGATAAAAGCAACTGCCCCTCCCCCAAATTTGCCATGTGGATATCTTCATCGTCGTTTCACAGAAAAACCCTGGAATCGACGTTTAAAATAGTGATGCTAACAAGATCTATGGTGGTTTCTTGTACACTCCTGACAAGTGATACTCACAGAAAAACTCTGCCACGATTTCTGCGGACCCTTTTAACGTGATAGAGTTTTTGGCTGCCTGTAGAACGCCCGCCATCTTCTTTGAAATCTAATCACGTCTGACACAACAACTCTTCTCATTGGCTAACTTTACCGCCATAATGTCAACTGCTGTTCCATTGGTCGATTTTTAATTTCCCATCATTCTATATAAATCTCGCATACTCTCGGTCCTCACGCGAGATTTCATTACTCCACTAGAACTTTCGGACCAGAGAAGACGCCGACTTGAGGTAGGTGAAAGTATTTCTTATTATTTCTCCCCAAACAACCATCTCCTTGCCTTGATAATTCTTTTGCTACTTACTGATGTGCCATAGACACGTATGCACGGTGTTTTGTGTCGACTCAGGGCCGAATCTTTGTACAATTTCGTTCTCTACCAGTCGGGATGTCAACAGCAGACGACACTGATGCTCAACTTCAAGGCCGTGACTTTACACGTAGGCAGGCGATCCCTCACTGTTGACCCTGTATCTGGGCTTAATATTCACTTGGATCGTTCTCCGATCCTCTTTCGGGAGCTCGGAACGGTATATAGTTTTCTAGATTATCGTCCTACGTGTCCATAGACCGTTACATATTAAAATTTTGGGAGTCTTCCAACAAAAACCCACACAAAATCAGGACAGGAATTCCCGGGGACAACAGACCTCCGGAGGGGCGAGACGCACGCTGAAGTGGTGAAAACAATGCCCCGCAACAAACTCTTCTGTCTAGACCCTTCTGTCGAGCGTCTTCTGAACTTCTTGAGATCTTCCGGTGTGTCTTGGAAGACGCCATTTTGAGACCTTACACCCGCACGTAGTGTGGAGACCTGGGTGGGACCAAGTCACGTAGACCCAAGGAGGAGTCGAGTTACTCTCCTCCGCATCTGGTCTACATAATTTGGCAGATTGATGTACTGGTGCACTTTTCTCAGCGGGCCACGTCAAAGGTAGACATTGCCCTCGAAGCTTGCAGCAAGTTCATGACTAGATTATCTAGTGGCCAGCAAATGTTGCAATCAAACTGGCATCAGATGATTAATTTGAAAAAGTTTGTTGTGGTACTGGTAGTCCTTGTTTGAATATGGAAATCACAGCATGGAACAAATCATGATCAAGGGTGTCATACTTTGTGAGAAAGTGAAAAAAAAGAGAAAAGAATTGTATAAGGAGGAATACTAAGTGATGATGATGTCCATAGGCAGACAGGACTAATATGGAAATGACAGTGAAAAATTATGCCTATTGTTATTTTGATTATGAGGGAGAGGAAACTTACTTTCACCCCCCTCATCTGATTTGTCCTGGTCCATTCCTAATTCATAAGGCTTTTGAGTGTGTGTACTAACAACATAGCACAGCTCTGTGAAGAGTGTATGCTAATGCTGAAACAACAAGGATGTAATGGCAGAACCGAAGAAGTTTTGTTGTATTTTTGAGTGGCACAGTCCATTGTAACAGCATGGTAATGGGTTCAAGCAGGCATTCAGAACTTCAATCACAGTTACAAGTTCAACTTCTAGAAGATTTTCGATACCCGAAATAATGAATGACCCCCCTGTCAAATGTTTAATAGGGGGACTGTGCCAGTGGACAGGGAAGTGATCGTGGATACCAGACTGTGTATATGTACTTTTGTGGACAGTTCAGCCCATAAAAGAGTCTGGGCTAAGTAAATGTATCTGCTTACCCATTGCCAACGGATGTCTCATATCAAGCACAGGGCTAGGGCTGGGGTCAGTGTAATTAGTGTAAATCCCAACAGGGGATTCAAAACAACTACAGGATGATTTCTGTTACTGGTGAGAGGTTCTGTGGTTTGTACCTAGCTTTGGATTGGTGTGAGGAGGTTAAATACACCCACCTCCTTGGTGTGAGAGATTGCATTAGTCCTTTTGGATAGATTACTGCAAATTAGAGATTATCTGTAGATTCCCCACATACTGATCAGAAGGAAGATATCGAAAACAAATAAAGCATGGTTTTGTCACAATAGTCACATTTCTTTGTTAGTACATATATGTAACAGATGTTTATCTACCCTGTTTTCCTTGTTTAGATTGTAGGTTTTTTTCTTTGCAGAAAGACATGATGGTTAGCATGTAGATGTTACAGGTAAATAGAGATACTACTGACATGTGGTTTATAATTATATGGAAAAATCTTTGTCATAATATCAGCTTTCTTGATGTACAGGACATTTATATTCTCCTGAGCTTAACACAGAGAACTGGATTTTGTCAGAAAACAGCACGCAATATTACCTCAAAATTTACCACATCACTGTGAATTTGTTAATTTTTGTAGAGACTTAATTTCATTTTTCTGTTTTCATAGTGTTTTAAGTTCGTGGTTGAAACAATGCTGCTGTACTGTAGTACATGTAGCACATTAGAACTATAATAGAAAGGTATATTTTTGGTCTCAAAAAACTGAGATTAAGACTAGAGGTCCTTTCAAAAATGAAACCACCATCAGCATTTTAAGATTTGCAGTATATAATGGTAGGATAGCCAAATCATAAGGCCAGAGAAAATGAGTCTGGTCCCTATGGGAACTATTGCAGCACTCATATTTGATTAAATGGATTTAATCATAGATACTTTTGCCATGAATTATTGATAAGTTGGCCCAACTGGGCACATCTTAATTATATCAGTATGATCACAAAGCCAGACTTTGGTTTGATAAATAATAGAAACCCAGTCCTTGACACTGATTATAGGTATACTTTCAAGTGGTACTTTCAAAATATGACCTTCAGAATAGTGTCACGTTTAGTGGCAGTACTTGTGAAGTGAAGAATATCCTTTAAGCAGATGTCAAGCATCCCTGACATCCCACTATCAAAACCAGCCATCAGGAAATGTCATGATCTTCTACTGTAACAGTGTAAGGTCGGCTTGGAGATAAAACAGGAAGATCTTTTATGAAATTTTATGATGGCCTTTGTACATCTTTGATCTGAGACACGAAGACAATTTTAATCACATTTGAGTGAGCCGACTGTTACTTTCTTTGATGAAATCCCACCAGATGACATACCTGTGGAACACCTGTGATAAAGATGACACCACCGTGCCTAGGTGGACAGATGGATGGTGGCCATCATGGATCGATATCCATCGAGGGCACACACAATACATAAATTACTGGTAGTTGGTAGGAGAGTTACATTTTGTACTATCACGTATTAGAGAGTGGGCTGTATCATATGGAAGGAATTGAAAATGTGGAACAGAGAACTGTAAATCTTGGTACTTTCACAGTGGTTTTATTTTGGGTAGGAGGAAAAGGGAGGTTTTTATTATGTTTTAAATTTGTGGTTGAAACAATCCTCTGGTACAGTATAAGGTCATACAACAGAGTCATCTTCATGTTGTCAATGAAGAATAACAATCCAAAGTCCATAGGTCACAAAGTGAAAACTGCAGAAATAAAAAAAAACTGCAAAAGTTTAATGATTTGCAGTATTTCTAAGGCCTTGCTGCCCGGCTTGACCTCTTCAATGTCATACAAGTTGAAGGCCAGTGTTGGCCATCAACATCATGTACAACTGCGTTTCAGTTCAGTCAGCCAACCACCATTGCAGCCCCAAGGCCATAGCCTGTACCATAGCTAACATATCCAGCCTGCCAGTGACCTTTTCATCCTGACCAGTCCAATTTAGACAAGTGGTAGCAATCCAATACAGGGCTGCATACCGATATAGTAATGGTACACAATGTATTAGGACAAGCATATAGGTTTAGGTCCAAAATACCAAATGTCTAAAATACTAGATAGATATGTCAATTGTTAATTTGTTACCCAAATGCTTCCGTCCTTCTGTTTAGTGCACAAGTGCCTATCAGACTAATGTGAGACATACAACTTAGGAGATATATGACATTGAGGACAGCCCCACAGTCTAGACTGTTGACAGTCTGGCTGGTTTCCCAACTACTTCTGTCTATTGCCAGCATGACTTGGGGATAGTCTAGTCAGATACTGCAACTAGGACCCCCTGAAATGGAAAGAATTATACCCGGTAGCTATTTGAGGTAAGAGATTGGCAAAGGCTACTCCAATTGAAGTCATTGTTTTTTCAGAATTATTAATTTCATAGTTAGATAATTTTTCTAGGAGTATAACACTTCACTCGGATTCAGAAGCTGTTAGTTTGTCTGAGAAATGTGTAAATTGGTCTGACATTTCATGCTGGCATTCTGTTCTAGGTTTGGATGATAAATGAGTTAAGGTCATGGCCAATGGGAGTGAACTTCCATGTGCTCTTGAGGTAGTTTCTACAGACTGACTTTTAGTGACTCAGGAAATATTTCAACTATTGTCAACATCTGTCAATAGTTAAGAAACTTCAGATCTTAAAGTTCGATCACCTTGTCCTTGTGTCAAGGTCGTGGTGCATGTGGAAAGCAACTTTTGCCTCTTCATATCAATCAAATGCTGTGGATCCAAAAAGGAAGGTTCAAACCCCGCTTGGGCATGGGCATGAGGGGTTTCATCCGTAATTTCAGATGGTGACATAAAGGTTTCATATCTTCAAATTCAAATCTTACACCACAGCCACAGGCTAATCTCCAACTAAGCAGATGTTAGGATGGACGGTTGGAAGCCTTTTTGTTCTTTCCCAACATTTGCATGTACATGTAGTTATTTTGAGTGTACAAACAACTATCAAGCAGAAATGAAACAGTCTGATCCAGGTTTATTTTCACAAATTGTTTGTACAATCTACAGAATGTACATCTGGTCAAATCCGGTTTTCGCATTTTTTTTTGGACTTGATTCATGAATGTTATTCCGGTCATAACCGGTCTGGCTGAACCGGTACGGTACCTACCCCTACCCCTACCCACAAGAATAGTGTTATCTGATGAATGGTGAGACTTGACCCAGTACCACATGTTTAACTTGAACACCTGCCAAACACTACTGCACAACAGGTTTTCTTCATTTGCCTTATTCCTGTGCCAGTAGGTTTTATAGCAAAAGTAGTCAAAACACGATTAGGCCACAGCAAACGAAATACTAAACTAGAAAGGTAACATTAAAATGCACAATGTTAACCTTTGCATATGGTCTTACTCTAACACATTCATATATTCTAAATCCCTCCTGCTATAAAATTGCAACATGATATAACCTAACACTAGTTACCATGGGGACAGACGTTTGGTTTGGGTCATTGACTTTTGTGTTTGGAGGAGAGAAAACTGAGCAAAAACAATATGTTTTCCTTCGGTAAACGTAATTTCATGGATAACATCATTATATTATGTATTGATTGTAATTAGGTCTTGTTGTACGCCTAAATCGTTAGACAAGATGCACCAGTGCAAATATTCCCAAAAATGAATCTCAATCCCAGCTAAAAGTTAGTTTGAGTTGGCAGATATGTAGGCCCACACATGCTCCAAATTCAGCACTGGCAATGAGCCTATAGTATTATAGATCTTTCTGTGGCAGAGGGAGTAGAGCTGAGGGATCACAAAAACTAGACAGACTTGCCAAAAAGTAAAAGGTAAAGCTGTCATCCCCTACTGAGGTAAAACATGCTAGTGGCTGCAGTACCAATGTGGCTTCACTAACTTGCGTTTTCAACCAAGCATACTTGGTTACTTCTACACTTCTCAATAACTGTGCTGGGCTCTTTTAGGTGCAAGGATTTGACGCCTGAGTTTAATGCTATAAACTGGTCTGCTGGATTCAAGTCGCCTGAAATGAGTCGTAAACTATTGGAACAACTCACTCTCACGACACTGTGTCTGTCAGTTATTATGTAAAAATCTTAAAATAAGTTAAATCATAGGGTATATAAATGTAGGACAGATCAAAATGCTGAAGCCATCTAGAACATATCTTCTTATAAGTTCTATGCACATCTTGTAAATGGAACCTTTTGACTAAGTTGAGGTGTTCTTTCTTGTTATTGCAATTTAGTTGGTCCTATGTAATGTCATTGGTTCTTCCATCTTGGGTCCATTATCAGTTATCTCCCCGGACAGTGTGATGGGTCTGCTATTTTTGTCCACATTTCTGCTAATGCACCACAGTTGTGAACTTCTGACTTGAATCAGCCTCTGACCTAAAGGTCAAACATCATGCCCAAGATTGCCACCATCGTGAACTTGTGCCCGTGGGAAAGCATCATGTCCATGGTTATACCATTCTGTCTTGTGTCTGAACTTCAGAATGATTTAGGCATGGTTAAAGTTTTTATGATTACCGAAGGAAAACATATTGTTTGTGCTCTGTTTCCTCTTCTTCTTCTCCAAACCAATAAGGTCAATTACCTGAACCAGACGTCTGTCACCATGGTAACTAGTGTTGGGTTATATCATGTTGCAATTTTATAGCAGGATGGTTCAGAATATGTCACCAAATACACCGAAGTGGTTTGAGTAAGAAAGAATTAACAGAGCAGACCATATAGCGAAGGTAAACGTTATGCATTTGCTTTGCAAATGTTACCTTTCTAGTTTTAGGATTGTTTGGCTCGAAAAGTTATGGAAATGAAATTTATTGAATTATCATAGACAGTAATGATTTTTCATGTAAGACCAAAAATGCTATTCAAATGCAGGTTGCAATTGCCAATTGGGCAAACATAATGTTTTCATTTCTTGAAAACTTTATGCCCCTTTCCAGTGGTCAAGCCAAAAAAGGCTAGGTTGGTAGGTTTTTGCAAAGATTGGTTGTGATTTGTGATTTTTTTTCCAAGACCAAGGAATCTCGCACAGTGCTAGACTGTTTTAAGTTGCACCAAAGAAGTATATGGCTGCACTGCACAACTGGGAAACCAGGTATTTAAAGCCTTACCATGTTTTGGTCAAGGCAATAAATTTTAAGGCACCTGTAATTGCTGTGGTCAGTCAGGGCCATAAATTACAGCAATAATTGTGAAAAGAGAAGCTTTACGAGTATTGTAAAACATGTTTTACTGGTATATGTGTTGCTGGATTAACTGTGTGGTTGAAGGGCACTCTGCCATTAGTCCAAGGGCACTGCTGCTGAGGTAGTGTGATCACCAGTCCTGGAAAAATACCGGGGTCATGAATGTGATAGTTATCTCAACCCAGCAGTCATGTCAGAAGAGATACGTACCTACAGTATATACAGGTTCTCTGTACCAGAGAAACTCCCAAGAGCTTGCAACGAAAACTAGGACTAGGAGCACCAAAACCGCTTTGAATATTTCATGGTTTATGCCATATCTGTATATATTCCATTACAATTGTAAAGAAGGTTTGAATTTGAACCCAGGTCCAGCTCCTGACAAAGTGCACCCATGTTATCTCCTGTCCTTAATGTAAGTCACATGCCAGAAATGGCCAACACCATTACAGGATCAATTCACTTTGCTACCTGCTTTATGACTGTCTGCACTATGCTTCAGCAGTAATGTCATTCTGGAGCCTTAAATTAAAGGTTCAACATGCAGGACTCCTTGATAAGATCAGCAATTTCAGCTGTGATTGGCTGTTACTCTTAACTAGATTGTGTCATCCGTCACGCTATGAATACCATTGGTTGTAAGTTTGAACATTCAGTATCAGGAGGAAGAAAGGGACATTAGAGTAATACCGGGTGTCTTCTCTCAGATTGGAGTAAGTGTACAGACTCAAGAGGGATCTCCCCCAGAAATTTAGGATATGATGGTGGTGTTAGAGGTACGGTCATTGATTGAAAGTGGCTTACAAATTGGTCCTGGAGGGGGCATACCCGCATAGCCACCCTCTTGGTTTTGGAGACACTGGCATTAATGATTAAGGTAAAAATTTTACCTTTTTCAAATGCAAATGGAGCCCTTCCTGGGAGTCCTGCTTTACACAATGACATTCTTATCTAAAATTACTTTGAAAGACGATGAAAGATAATTCTGTAGAAAAGCTCTAATTTCAGGGTTTGGGGCTGGGATTACAGTATGATTGCATCACACAGCAGGAAAATGGCCCACCTGATGAGTGGGTGAGCTCAAAGGGACATTTTTGCCAGCCTGATGAGTTCTGGCGATCAAAATCAGTTGAAGTGGGTTGTACTTCAGCTACAATCACTTGGACATTTGACAGAAAACTTGTTAGCAGTCCTGGACATGTTCTGTGTTGAAATGTGCAGTACCTTGTGCTACTTTTGCATTCTTGGTTTTCAAAACCTTTCTTCGTTGTTTTTCAGTTTTACAGTAGTCATTTCCAGCACCATGTTTGTCCCAAGACCGTTGATGGTTTTGCCAGTGGGACTCCTGTTGTTGTTCCTGGGGCAGCAGGCCTGTGTGAATGCGGAGGTCTTCACCGCCCTGTGTGACATGGAGTACCTCATACACATGGAGAAGGACCTGGTGGACTCCCTGGAACAGTACATACAGAGGGAAGAGGACAAGCTGAACAGAATCAAGACGTAAGTTTTTATGACTAAGTGCCGGCCACCATGCTAGACAGAAGTGTCTGGAATGACATCCTGAGGGCCAAGGGGCAATTCATATGAGGTTTACATGTATCTGAACTGAACTGAAGATTATTATGGCTGCCTCAAAGAGAACTCTTATAGGATTTTGGCACAAAAAGATGAGAAGTATAGAACTTTGGTGTAATTTTTAAACCCTTGTCCTGCGGAGCCCAAATATATGGGTTGCACATATAGAACCACCCATATAGCACCCAGTATAGGTACGATTTGGGGTATTTCTTGTGCAAGGCATCATACCGAAGTGAAATACAACAAGTGCGATTTTTGCCATTCATTGGCCTGATTTAGACATGTGTAAAAAAAAGCCAGAAGGACAAGGGTTAACATATTTTTGTTAAAGTTGTCATGCTCTTTATGTTCGATTTTGTCCCTTTTTGCAACAGCATTCATTCAAGGTTTAAGGCAGTGTCCAAGATGGCAGGAGAGGAGCCTGTCAAACACCTGCACCACCCAGTCAACGCCTACCTCCTGGTGAAGAGGTACACTCGGGACTGGCCCCTGCTGGAGGCATGGATACAGGAGGACACTGCAGAAGGTAGGGATCGCATTGGTGCTACCTTGTTTGGGAGAAGCACAATGTGCAGTACTCTTGTGAATTGCTAGGTGGCGCAAAGCATGACGGGACCACACGTGGTCCCTCATGGTGTGAGGTACACATGTTGAATCAGGTATGGTAGTTGACCATGACCCATACTTTTCACCACTGGAGTTTGTCTTTGTGTAGCAAAACAACATGGCATACTATCAAGAGTTGGAAGGCTAGAGGATTTGAAGATGCAAAATAAACATTGTATCCCATTATATTGGTCTTATTTCTTCCTCAGATTTCCTGTACAACCTGACAAAAGTGAAGGAGTCGTTCCCATCTGATGAGGACTACATGGGAGCGGGGAAGGCGCTGGTGCGGCTTCAGGACACGTACGACCTGTCCACACAGAACATCGCCATGGGCAAGATGGGACAGGAAATGGGTATGTCAGGGGAAATGGGAGGACCTTATATAGGAAACAAATAGACCTTCACATAGCTGGTATTGATATGTATTTCTTAAGCCAGCAAACAGCAGGGAAATACATATTCATAGTTGCAAGCTCTGAAAGATATTGTTGGCAGCAGCCTGACCAATATCCTCTCAATCACAAGTAATTTCGTTTACAATTTTGCACCAGTGCAGGTACATAGTTTCAAGCCTAACAATGTGTTACAAAAACAAGTGACCTGTGATTTTGATTGAAATGTGATTGTTGGCAACTTCCTTTCTACGTACAATTTCCGTCTGTCTCTATAAAAAGCGATGTCTTGAATGTCTTCTGCTTTTTGTCTGTGAACAATACAATGCTTTTCTTAAAAAATACCTCTTTATGTACACTCCAAATGTTTAGCTAAGGCTACTCATCCAGACATGGAGTTTACTAAGAGCCCAGAGCTGTGGTCAGAGGACTGTTTTGAGTTGGGGCGGCTGGCGTATGTCGACCAGGACTACTACCACTGTGCCCTGTGGATGGAAGAGGCCCTGGCCAGGTTCCAGCCCGACCCTACATCCGACCTCACTAAAGATACCATTCTGGATTATCTGGCTTACGCTAGTTACCAGGTATGGCTTGGGGAGGAGGGAAACGTGAGTCGCTTCTGCTGCTTTGCTATACTTTAACCTTCTCCCTGCTAAGGTGCTGCCATTTGGCACGACTTTTGTATTGGCTATGGGGTTAGGTAGCAGGGAGAAGGTTAACAAGCTAATGCTTGCTTGCTTGCTGATAAACAACTAACAGATTTTGATGCACTCCTGTCGTCATCGTACATTTGGCTTCTGGAGAGTCAGCGGATGAAACTAACAGATTTGTTAGATAAAGGAGAACACTACATGAATCCCACGGAATGCAGTGAGATGCAAGGCATTGTGTGTAGCATGGGGCAATTGAAATCATAACCATGCCAACTACATGTTTACATTTAGTAAGTATTGCACATAGCTGAAAGCATATTACCTTCCAATCAACAGTAGGATGTTATCTACTTTGAGTGTGAACCTAAAGTACTTTGTGTGCTTAGTGTGTCATACATTAAAAATGCATCCGAAGGACTACTATTTTATCATTCATGTTTATTTATAATCCCTTATAATGTGACGTTTTTTATTTACAGCAAAACAACATTGATCGTGCATACCAGGCCACCAAGGAACTTCTGAAAATCAGTAAGTAAAGCCTCTTTCCTTTACATGTACAATGTATGACAACTGAAGGAAGTATCATATGTAAAGGGCAATAGACAAGCTTTCCAACAATATTTTAAAAGCACTGTGAAAATCATAAAAAAGATATAATCAAGAGACATTTCACCCCCTTTGGGAAACCCACTCACATAAGTACATGTACATCCAAAGAATAATTGATATATTAAACAAAAGCATATCCAGTTCGTGTCTCAGCAACAAAGCTGTGGTGGTAGTTTTTGTGACAAATGTTGCTTAGTTTTGGTATGTTAATTTACAAAACATTTCTTTTTTTTAATCAGATCCTGAGCACACTCGTGCATCCAACAACATGCAGTTCTTCGAGAAAGAGATAGCAAAGACAAGAAACCTGGTGACACCGCAGAAGGAAGAAGCTGAGTCTACAGATCGGGGAGAGTACAGGCGGGACTTGGCCAGAGACTACCTGCCAGAGAGGGAGATCTACGAGCTTCTGTGTCAAGCAGAACAACCAGAGTACTTCAACATTGTAAGTAATGAGTCTTCTCTGTTTCTTCCTCTTCCTCTTCTCCTTCTTACTCGAAATTCAGCAAGAAGGTAGATCGTCACATAATACACTAAACCTTGGTCATTTTGTCCAACATGGATGTAAAATGAATGATTTTATTGAGGAAAAACGGGTGAAAAAAGTAATTTAATATTCTTCTGTTAGACCCCATCCAGGGTGAAGCACCTGAAGTGTCGTTACTTCAACAACAACAACCACCCCCGTCTGCTGCTGGCACCACAGAAGCTGGAGCAGATCTTCGACAAGCCCAAGATGTGGATCTTCCACAACATCCTGGAGGACCGGGAGATGGATGTCATCAAGGAACTGGCCCAGCCACGGGTAAGGCACTGTCTACAAAAAGCATGCCCGTAGCCAGGCCCGTTGTTCGGAAGAACAAGGCTCAAAGGTCCATTTTTTAAAACTAAAGGTCCAAGATTTTTCGTTAAAAGATGGACTGATTCGTATCACCAGTAGGGCTCGAATCGTAGAAAAACTGCTCACTTTGTGTCATTGAATAAAAAGTTATGTCTGACTTTTTAAAAAAATGCAGGAAATGCCATTTCAGAAGTTTCAATTTTAGAAATTTTCGGGGGGGGGGGGGCATGCCCCTGAACCCCCCTAGGAACCTTGTGTCTTTGGCTGTCGCCTCATGCCTACGGTGCTTGCTGGTCTCTCAGACAGTTGGAAGAACCCCCCATTCAAAATCCTGACTGCAGGCATGAAAAGACAGCATTTTCAACATTTTGAAACATATTTTCTCTACTGGATCCCAACTTGGAATTTAGAATCCTTCTTCATATATTTAGACATTACATTGACTGTTTTGCATCTGAAGCATCACTAACTGACACTGATGTTTGCTGTGTTTTATAATGTGTCGGTATGGTTTTTAATAACCTTCATGTATGTGTTGAATGGTGAGGTGCCATATGAAAGGTTTGACTAATATTGTTAACTTGTCTATTATCTGTCATAGAAGTATAAATTGTTCTAAAATCATTTGCTGTTGAATCATGTCTTATATCTTGTAAACTACAAAAAACTATCATTTGGTTAATGAATAATTGCTGTAACATGACTTTGTGTAACACTGGTTCAATTGGTTGTGACCTGTAAATACAGTTGTTGTCGGTGATATCTATAATCTATAATGAATGCTGGAGTTTACATTTGCTAACTTCATCTCATGCGCTAAGCTTTTACTGGTTGCACACATATGATAAGAAATCCCTGTCTTGATGTGTGTAAATGTTATGGTGTTTTTGTGGGTAAGACTTCAAAACTAGTTGCTGGCTGTGACTGACAGATGTACAGGTGTATGTTAGGGCTGTGTACCACTTTTTCAAAATGTTCAGGTACAGATTCAGTTTCAGACATGTACTTAAACCTCTGTAACAGTACCTGTACCTGATGTTATGCTTGTGTACGCAGTCCTAGTTGTTACTGCTGTAACAGTTATAACATGGCTACACGCCTGTTCTTGTCAGTGTTGGTGTTCAGCACACTTCACTCTCATCTTACTCACCTCTGTCTCCCCCTCCAGTTACGACGAGCTACAATCCAAAATTCCGTTACAGGAGAGTTAGAACACGCATCCTACCGCATTAGTAAGAGGTGAGTATGGGGATCTGAACGTACCTGCTTCCTGCATTTCATCACTGACTAACGATTCTTCCCGTATCCTTCCCTAGCTTAGACGTTCGACTGCACGAAATTTAAACACGGGAGAGTATGAACCTGCTTTCTACCGAATAAGTAAGAGGTGAGTGCCTCACACGTCCAGAGTCATCATACCATTACAGCTGGTATGTTTGGTGGAGCGTCTTTGGGCCCTGTTCACATTAGGGCTCCTGAATTACAGTTAGATTGGGTATAGGTGAAATCAAATGGAGACTGGTTAGATTTTGTGAATGTGAATGATTTGGATTTGAAAATGGTTACTTTCAAACTGTCTCAAGCCAGTTTGAGACAAATCCAATTTGGCATTCACAGAATGAAGCTAGTTTGTATCAGATTTGACCAAAATCTTAGTCAACACCAATTTAACAGACCCCAAAGTGGACAGGGCCTTAAGTGGTATCTACTACTCACCTGGGGTCTAACAGTTTTGTGGGAAATGGAAAAAGGAAAATAACATGATCGTAATTGTTTTGTCTGCTGATATAAACCAGCTCCCCCCACCCAAACTTACACTATTCACACGTACAAATGTATGTAACATGTTATGAGTGCAGTCAAACAGACACACAGAGAACTGCCATTTTGTCCAAACTAATTTTATTTCTAGGTATCCATGAAGTGAAATGGGTATCATTACACCAACAGTTTAAAATCAGTGATGGTAAAAGTGTTTTCTTTAACTCCTACATGTATAACACAGCCCTTCCAACTCTGGCCCAGTTATGTTCATCATTGCTAACCTGCCAGAGCAGTTTCCTTTCAGCAGCTAGATACAAAGACACTACATGTATACATGAAGAGCAGGTTCTAATAGTGGCAACCATCACATCATCATCTGACGTATACTATGACTTATTTTGTTTCGTTGTTTTAATGATATTTTTTTTTGTATGTGTGTGTTAGGCCACAGCAAGTAAACTTTGTGTGTATGACATCTTCTGGAGACCTCAAATCTCATGCAAGAGCGTGGAAAAAAACAAGAATTTAGATGCCTTAAAAAATAGAAATGTTGTTACAAGGATTGAGGTTTCAATTTCACTCAAAACGTAGTATTACAGCCAACAAGTTTTATTGAAGAAGTGCAAAAATCAACACAACACAAATCAATTTGGTAGCCTAATATCACTACATAACTACAAGCAAGGCTATCACACTTTTGTCACTTTGGCAAGTACATTCAAGGCTAGTGCCCAAGATACATGTACTTTCCCATGTTCAGTATTTTCTTGTTGGTCATAGCTGAAGAGGAGCATATGTATTTCCTTTTTCTTTTTTATTTAGGCAAAAAACAATGTGTGCATGGATGTCATCCATAAAATTCACTTGCTGTGCCGTTTTAGCTAAAAAAACAACTAATCTGTGCATCCTGCATGTGTTAGCTGCTCTGTTAATTTTAATACACTTGATAGGGTTGAATGGTCTCTCATTAATACCTTGAGTTGTGCTGTGTGGTAGCAAAGATATAATGTTAATCTAATGTTGCTAGAAGTGTCACTGACTTGAGGCCTTCAGTTGCTTGTCCATCTTTTGGGGGAAAGCTTCAAGTCATAGACACATCTACATGTAGCGTAAAATCGTGATGCTTTTTTTATGTCATGTTGAAATATTACCATTTAGTTGCTACATCTTACTGGCATGCCCTGACAGACATTTGTTTTTTAAAGAAATTTTTAAAACCCCTTCCCACATATCTGGACACTCATACCATTCTAGCTTTGATTTGCTCTTCTGATGACTTTGTTGCCGAATAGTCTAGCAGATATTACTACATGTACTAATAATAGAGAAAAGATGGCATGTGAATATTCCTGTAGCATGTAAGCTAGTTTGGCATCAAGTCACAAGGACCTCAGTAACGGCATGGCAACAAACAAGTACAGTGTATTTGGAAGTTCAATCACTTACACTGCTTCTGAAACATATTTGATAACCTAACAGATTAATGATATTAGGGTCAAACATTTAAATCGAAAAGGGTGGCAGGCTGTTCTTCAGGGAAGTGATCAGAACTGGAGCTAGAGTAGGATAGATACTTTGCTGTCCCCATACACACAGAAGGACATGAATTCTGCTACAGTTTAAAACATGTGGGTGAAGGATCTGTTTGTACTGTTTGTTGTGCAGTGCTTGGCTGCAGGGCTGGGAACACAAGGTCATCCGCCGGGTGAACCAGAGAGTGGAGGATGTGACCGGTCTGACCATGGAGACTGCAGAGGAGCTACAGGTCAGCAGGAACTACTAAATCCCTCCTCAGAACTTTGTACTAGTAATAGCTTAGCAAAGGGTCTTATCTGAAAGGCATCCAATGCAATTTCAGGGCAGCAAAACTGGAAATATGCTGAATAAGGCAATCGTTGTGATATTGACACATACTTCTTCACATTAGCACATTTGAGTTTAATTAGAGTTTCATAGTTTGCACTTTTAAAATTGCAGAAACAAGCCCCATGATGAGTCCTTTATTTTCAGGGCATGATGCATTAAAACTACATGATTTCCTCCTGCACAGGTTGTCAACTATGGAATGGGTGGACACTACGAACCACATTTTGATTTCGCAAGAGTAAGTCAACCATGGTCTTTTCTGCCACTCTTTTGACAAGTCCACAAAAAAGTTATACCAACATCAGACTCGGAGCTGACCACTTTTTAGAACGTTATAATGCTGCAGTCATGACAGTCATAGGTAGGTGTGTATTACTATCTGTATATGTATTTTGAAAATGGCTACGAAAAAAATGGCTGCTGAAAGCTGTTACAATGCATTGATGCGCTGACATATGGATTTTAAACGACAGAAGCCTCCACACATTTTACAGTAAACCTTTCCTACATGTACCTACCTACAGTAATTCAATCCTTGATTTGATATAATTTTGCATGTGACAGTTTAACCAGCTCATTTCAATCCCCATGTCTTTTCTTTTGCAACCCTCCTCCCCTCAACATCACGTAGAAAGAGGAGAAGAGTGCATTTGACCCCAAGGAAGGCAACAGAATTGCTACAATGCTGTTTTATGTGAGTCTTATTTGAGTAACGTGACGTGGTTACAAGGGCACTGGAAGCAAGACAGTGGTCAGCCAGCAAGGATGCTTTAGAAGTCTTCTGTTCAAATCCCCAATCTGTTCAAATCCTCAATCTGTTCAAATCCTCAATCTGTTCAAATCCTCAATCTGTTCAAATCCTCAATCTGTTCAAATCCTCAATCTCTTCAAATCTTCAATCTCTTCAAATCTTCAATCTCTTCAAATCCTCTTCTTCTTTTATCCGATTTAACATCATTTTACCCCGAAACGGGGGTTAGACATGCTTGCATCAAATGCAAGTCTTTTTTTTTTTGAGCAAGATTTTTACGGCCTCAATCTCTTCAAATCCTCATCACATGGGTACCACAGTTTTTACTTGACAAATTGTCGAGGATACATATTTGGTAAAGAAGAACCAAAATGTTTTTGATAGGTACAATGCTTGATCTTGTGCTGGTGGCTGCATCTGACTTCTGTGTGTCCAAGTCACGTTAGTGTTTATGTGAACCCATTGAAATGAAGAATCCAGCTGGACAGTCTTGGCCGGTGTCTTTCCTATTCTTGTACAAATGTAAGACTCAGAGAAACAATTAAGCAAATTAGAGCTAGAATAGAATGGATGCCAGGCTAGGAAAATCCCCTCTGTCTAGCGAAACATTCATTTTCACTGGGTTCATGTAAAACTAGCTGTGATGTTATGTAAGATAACAGTTTTGCATGTGGTTCTTTCCCCCTTTATAGAAAGAAGAGGTTAATGCGTTCAAAAGCCTAGGAACAGGAAACAGAATTGCTACCATGCTGTTCTATGTGAGTTCTTGCCCCGTTTTTGAAGCGGCAACGGTAAAACACTTGTTGCAACTGCCCGCTGTGATGTCCATGCACCTATGTCCTGTTTTCTTTTACGTGAAAGGAGTTACAATTTTTGACAGATTCTCCGACATGTTTTTTTTTTCGTTACACTGAGTTAAAAGATTGGAAATGAGCTGAAAAAATGTGGTAAGATTTTTTAAAACTTGTCTGTCAACTGTGCTAATTTTGTGCTGTAATGTCTTAATCTGTGTAAGAGGAAAGGAAAAAATTCTAGAATCACTCAAAACAGGACGACCAACAATTGTGTGACTAACATAGTTTGAACAAGTACATTTCATTTCATGCACAGTAGTAGCTTAGTCTCTATTTCACTTTATAAATATTTGTGTTTTTATGTTGTTTCTGTCTTAACTTTTAATGTGACTTAACATTTGTCCTTGTTCCCCTTGTAGAAAAGTTTTTTTTTGTCATGTGTAGTCAGTTAACATCCCTAGCAGCCCTCTGAATGATAGTCCCTATGTGCATGATCCCAAAATCAATGTACATGTACCTGTGAGTAGGGACATTGGCCCTCATAATAATCAACTGACATTGAGCTGAGTTGGAGCTTGTGAATTTTACGTTCATAAAGGAGACAATGCAGAGAAACTGAAACACAAATTTGCAAACACAAAGTTCATTTCATGATTGCACTTGGCTGTCCAATCCCATCTTCTGATATCAGCATGTTAACATATTATGTATTTATATATACACGCATGTATATTAGGGGTCATTACTTGTACTGGATTGAAAAATCCTATAATTCAAGTCCCTGTTAAAAAGGAATCAAACCTAAGTAAACCTGATTTTGGAATTAAATCAAAACAAACACTACTAACTACACAACTAAATTCATCCAACACAAAAAAACAGATGAAACAAAGTTTGTTCCTTACTCTTCTACATGTATGTAATTCTTTCAATGTGAAAATCCTTTTCCCCCACACAAATGCCCTGGATACTAGTATTTAGATGACGAACAGGAACCAGAGTTTACCAAGGAGCTGAAATAAGAAGGTTGACTTATGTTTAACCCTTAGCATACTATTATTATACAGGATCAGGTTCAAGTATGGCTTTCTGGACCTGAATCTTCTGGACTGGTATCCAACTCTATTATTTATATCTTGGAACCCTGGTTGGTACCTACCCATGGTTTTACTTGTACTTGTAAAAAAAGAGCATCTCTAGAATATTTTCTCCTCCCCTCCCTAGATGAGTGACGTGGAAGCCGGAGGGGCAACTGTTTTCCCACAAGTTGGTGCCAGACTAGTCCCAGAAAAGGTAGGCATGTGTGGAAAACAGTTAACATTATGTAGTTTAAATCAGGAACAGTTTGAAAATGATTTCTAGGTGTTCCTCTCTGACAGCAAATAAACACATGACATAGATGAAAACATGACGGGCGTGAAAATTAGCAACGTCTTTGATTTTCAAATCTTGAAGCATGATGTTAATTCCATTTACAATGTGCTGTGTACCTAATGAGTACTGTGAGTAACATGTTAGTGCTCTGTGTTCCAGGGAGCTGGTGCGTTCTGGTACAACTTGTTTAAGAGTGGGGAGGGTGACATGCTGACCAGACATGCTGCTTGTCCAGTGCTGGTTGGAAGTAAATGGGGTAAGTGGACACACAGCTTTTCTCAACTTTCAATTTAGCAGTTGTGTTTCTTAAGAGAAAATTGTCCGAATTCTGGCATTAATGCAAAATTTATGACCAATGGAATAGTTTTCCAGTTGTGTCGTTTGTTTTTTCCAACTGGATCAGACTAAAAATGAAGCCATAAAATCGGACAACCTAACATGGTAGCCCCCATTGACCTAAGGGTAAAACAGAACAGCTTTTGGTGTTGCAAAATCTTTGATATCAAGCTCAAAATATCATCTTGACACAATTTTGATCAAAGTCATCTTGATTTTTCCTCCGGTATTGCAGTGTCCAATAAGTGGATCCATGAACGAGGTCAGGAATTCCGCAGGAAATGTGGCCTGTCTCCAGAGGACTAGCAGCAGCCCCCCTCCCCACACACATCCCAGGTCATCCACAAACCAGCGGTACCCTGTCGGAACCCCAATCTGCCAAGTCATTTTACCTGTAGTACCTGGGTATTCTAGAAGTCTCTAAAACTAAGCTTTTAAATTAGATGCCCGTGCACCTTCATTCGAACAAATCAGGATTCTAACTTGGTGCTTTTTATCACTTCTAGTTGCCTTGTATTTTAAACTTAATGCGATGAATTACGTTTTACACCCAGTTTTTACAGAAAGTGAATTTTGAAATTCTTGCCATTTTATTCAAGGCTTATTTAAGATGTAACAAACATAATATAGTGGAAGGAAATTCTACTAGCTATTTGTCAAAATGTGTATCTGTACAACAGCCGATATCACAGAGGAGCTGAGAAAGATCCTATAGTAGTAGACATGCACTGCTTTATACTACACAGAGCTTACATCTCAAAGCTGGCATAGGAACTAGCTGAAGAGCTGAGCTTTGAGCTTTAGATTAACCTCATGTCCAAAATGTCTACATCATGTGAAAAACTCTTCAAAACTCAGGAGCTGGAACAAAGGTTAATATAGTATGTTATGAAAACCTTAGACAGCAAACTCAGAAACTACTCTCTGGTACACTTTTAGACTATTTTAATGGTCTTTATTTTTTTGTTGGTCTCGGGTATTTTAAGAAATACTTTTGGTCTATTTTTACATACAAACAAGGCATAGGAATTGTTGCTGGTAAAATACATTGTTGGTGCTTGAACTTCTTTTTTTTACATGTGCAAAATTTAATATTATGTATTGGACATCTTTTAGACGTTTACAGAGTAGACAAGCTCTGTATGTAACAAGGCTTTCTGTAAGCTACACTTCACGCGAATCTGATTGTTCAAGTGCGAAGTTGACATTATTGTTATCCTATCATTGCGAGCAACTTTTATGACAGATGTGTAACATATCATTTGTTTTCCGTAATATTTGATGTACCACAAAATACCTGATAAGGTATGAAGCTGCATCTATTAGTACTGTATTTCTATTATGTTATGAGATTTCAATGTAATGACTGACATGAATAATAATATGCGCAATCCCACGTGCCCACAGGAAGCCATATTGTCACGCCACCTTGCATCTAAGATTAAAAGGGCAGACAGAATTTGTGGCCAGTGAGTTTTCTTTGTTGTTAGATTTTCCTTTGGTTTTCACTGTAACATTTCTGCAACAACAAAGGCAATTAGTTACTTCTACCGTTTCAATATCTTCACGTATTGGTAGCCTCCTTTGCAGACTTGTGGAGCAGGGTTTTTATTGTGGGGGCATGGGTGCTAAGACATTTTTTAAAACATGTTTTGGTCCTTTTTTTACAGTCACAAGTGCATGTACACATGCATGGAGAGAAAAATGCATTCATACAAACACACATAAAACAGCATATTCAATTGAAATCTATAGAAAATGGCTCCCAATTCATTTAATCTTTCTGGAATCAAGACCTACATACAAGTCATGAAAACCAAGTCACATGATGACTTTTCTTAGACTATCCTGGTCATGACACAGCACGTCGGCAGAAAGTACTGCGACTACATAGAACCCCGTATTTTCACTCTTTTTGATGGATTTTTGGTCAACGTTGCATTATAATTTTGCCTGTTGCAGAGGATATTCTTTCCGACACAACATTTGGAAACTACTGTCGAAATGTTAACCTTATATGAGCGAATCCAACTTTATATGAGACATTCTGCTGAAGTGCTATGTACAATACATTACGGGTTTCGTGCAGGTGCAGTACATTCTGCCAATGTGCTTCATGACACTATTTATTAGCAGCATTTCCCTCCGACAACAGTATACTATCACAACACGACACCATTTAGTTGTGCACTTATATACCGGCTACAAAATACGTCATCAAATTGGCGTGATCAGCCAACCAGCAACCAAAGAGTCTCAATCTCCTCTATCCTAGCCTGTAAGGTGGCAGAGTATCTTAGCCAGACATATCGCCATGTTGTCTTATCTAGTCGAGGTATGGCAAGCACAGTTGTAGAATGGTGATATTGCACATCATGTGAAAGTATAGAACTGCGCTCCCTATATCCTGACTTAATCTAATGAAAAGGCAATAAATTTTGGCTTCAGATGATCACTGCTAAATCAGATCATACACTGACCTCCCTTAAGTTATGGACAATATAAGAATAAATTGTGGCATTCTTCTGCTCACTGGTTGGCTAAGCATGTCATCCTGATGATGTAGGTTGTTTCCCATGTTAAAATACTACACAGTTTATCCATTTGAGTAACAAGCATTAAAAATGCCTACGTTACTGGAGAAAACTTTTGGCTTCATCATTGCCATAACCGGCGTCTGTATCAACGACATTAAATACATTTTCAAGGTGACTATTCATAAACTAAATTCACCCGTTGCACCCGTCTCATTTTGTTTTTGTCAGTTTTTTACCATCATAAATATAAACAAAAATATACCTGAGTGTTTATTTTCAAAAATCACTATACCGTACTATGGCATTAACCTTGTTAACCAGGCCTTGGTCCAGGCGGATCTATCCGTTTCCTAACCTGTCTTTGATTGTGTGGCTGGACCAACTCCTGGCAAACAAGGCTATGGAATTTCTACTTTTTTTTCACCGCCTCTTTTTGCAATAACGACTGTACAGACCGCTTGGCCATTTGACATATTGTGTAGAACCAGTACAGGTACAGGCCGTGTAGCACGACGCCCAGCGCGATGGCGATCCTCCAGGCCGTGGCGTACTCGGCGCGACCGTACTCGGGCTGCGGCATGAGGAGGTAGACCCAGCCGTACCAGCAGACCGGGATGGTCGCCACTCGCACCAGGAAGAACATGGTCATGAAGGCCAGGCTGGTCACAACATGGGGCGGGGAGGTGTAGGACCACCCAGATAGTGTCAACAGGCGTCTGGTGACAAAGGGAAATAAAGAATTAGTACCTAGTAAATTATGATGACAAACATAGTACAAAGCTAAACTTAACGTTTGGAAGGTCATTTATTATCCTGATGAAGACGACAATGGTCATTGAAAATTTTATCCTCATGTACCCTTTGTGCTAGAATAAATTTTGGCATCATACAATGAATGCTAAATGTACCAACATAGACTTCCAAGATTGAATCAGAGTACAATCGTTTATCTACGGAACGGAAATATTGTTTTGGGCGGCTGAGTGGTGGGTTTTGTCTGTGGGGTGACTTCGACAAATGATTGGGATAGGAAGGTCAAGCCTGGCACCGTGTCCCAGCATGCACCTGGTGGAAGTAAGTGGGCAATACGTGGAGGAATTCAGGAAGTGGTTGACTGTTTGTAATACCCCATTGAATTACGTCGTACAATTGTCGTACAGTTCCAATATATTCACGAAAACCGAAACCACCAGAGGTCTGAAATCTCTTCTCGATTCAGATTACTACTGTACTGAAACAGTTCTTTGAAACCATTTTCACACAGGCTTACCTTAGATGAAGTAGAGGGTTTGACAACTCAGCTAACAGCTGCATGTTGCCATAGAAGTGGGCGAGAGGACTCATCTACAGATAGAAAAAATAACTTTAGAAAATCCCAACAAATCCATGAAGTAGGTAAAAGTTTTCAACAAAGTTATTCCCAGATGATTAGAACAATTCTTGCACAATTCTTTTAACAGATGTATGTTGGTAGTACTTAGCAAGATGCTAACGACAAGATTGATGAAGTTGTATGTCATAACGGTATAACCAACACATGTAGTGATGACACCACAATACGTACCAGGCCACACAGGATGCAGGTTACGGCTGTGACCACGTGATGCAGGATCATGAGGGGCGTGGCCAGGTACCGGTAACGGAACGCGATGATGATCAGGTCTGTGAAGTAACCAATCAGGACAGACTTCATTGAGTGATAGTTTTATCACATACAGACATATTGTAGAAATGACACCATGCAGAATTGACATACATTTTCCCGTTTCTATGATCTTGTCTCATGTGGAGGACATGTTATTCAGAAAAAAAGACTCCAAAATGTTCTTTGTGGAATTGCTACCACCATTAACCACACACATCATACATGTTATAACCTCATATAAAGTACATATGTACATACAGATAATCTCCAAGCAAATGTTGGGAAGCAAGCCCTTTACGTTTTTCAGGCCCCCATGTGTGATGGGGTCAGTGTGCAACAGATAGGGGAGATAGAAAAATGTTACGGTTTTGCCTCCGAACGTCTGCTTGGAGAAGGACAGACGATATGTCTAGTGCGCATGCTCACCTGCAACTACATATCCCACTACTATTGCACAGGCCACTTTCATGTAGGGCGACTCGTATCTAAAAGGAAAGTACGAGAAAGAAATGCAGTTAGTGGATTTCCCTGATTTTTGTATGCAGACAATTATATTATAATACTGTTCAGTAAAAAAAGTTCTTAAGCACACTGGTTCAAGGTTCTGGCGTTTGACTTCACGATAGTACTAATAGCGCTTAAAAGAGAATTTAGAATAACCAAGGACATTATACACTGTGTATAATGTCCTTGGAATAACAGAGAACGTGCTACACAGAATTAAGGTGACCTATATATATTACGCCTCAGGAATAATTTTACCAGCGACGTTGAATTAGAGCGTGACAGACACGACGCTCCCCGAAAAGGCGTGCAAGTATGAATGTTAATATGTCGGTATCCCATTTTTCTAACCAGGCACCTGTCATGTTGTTGTTAATTTGCGTGTTGTAATCTGTCAGCTAAATGATTACATATTCAGGTAATCCTTCAGTACACATTCCATGGTTATCATACTATTATAAATGTACTTTCCCCCATCCTCACTAGTTCTGTATCCACTCGAAGTGATTAAATCGACATATACGTTTTACACTCAAAATGGCCTCTCTGAAGGGCTATTTAAAGCGCCACCTAACGCGTTAGATGTCATTAGCGCAACAGTAAAGGCGAAATAAATAGAACCACTTTTGCCAACCATGCAGTTACACGTACAATGTATAACCACTGCTGTGAAGCTAAGTACCAAACATGTGCCAGATTTGATCATCATTTATAACTATATTTCTATATTTATATAACTTGTGAGTTGTGACAGTGAGAGAACACACCATAGATGTACTGTAATTCTGAATCTCTTCGAAAACGGAGAACTGTGGGTGACCAGGTATTGTCATGACAACATTGACCCGACCCGATACAGTACGCATGCGCCGTATAACAGTTGCCATGGCAACACGTCGCTCGCTCCTAAGCCAATCAGGACTATCCTACTGTCCTACCTGACAACATCCGGCTTCAGTCCGCTGTCCCTCAGGAATCCATACACGGCAAGAGCGCCCAACACAATAGAGGCGCAAGACGATAGGAGTCTGTTTGTACAAAAGCAACAAGAATCAATATAATCCCTCCTCCTAAATCGTATGTAACCTACAAGAGAAGAACGTCGCAATGATCTGTGTATACAGATTTTTGGGAACATGCGACTTTTCCTATGCCGTTCATGTGATTTTTCAACAGTTTTGAAATATAACCAAAACAAAATTCGGCAAGATAATAATTCCCGACTATAATTTTACAATGCATGCATATTAAAACAGGATATACGTATTTGTCTGTACACAAATCATAGTTTGGGTACCATCCAAGATAGCAGTTATTGCTCGCGTACTATTTTAATAGCTTCTAAGTTCTTAAGGAGGGTCTGCATGCCCTTTTTCGTTAACCGTTATGGGCTATTTTAATTTACCGTTAATCGTTGCCGGCCAGCTCTAATTCAACGTTAAGCGTTATCAGTATATTCCTCGTGAAGCGTTATGGGTCGTTTTAATTCAACGTAAAACGTTATTTGTCATCCTAAATTCAGCGTTAAGCGTTAACGAATAATTCTTCGTTACGCCTAATGTTACCGTTCAAAGTGCAGGAAAATGCGTCATTGAAGGTTTAAAAATACAAAATTTCCTGGGGGAGAATGCCCCCGGACCCCCCTACATTGCTCGCGCCTTTGGCGCTCGACTCGCGCTTCTGCGCTCGGTCGGAAATTGCGCTCGGAAATTGCGTTTTTGAAGGCTTAAAAATCCTAAATTTCCCGGGGAAGCATTCCCCCGGACCCCCCTAGATTACGAGCGCCTTCGGCGCTCCCCTCTCAAAATCCATCGGTAAAACTGGGCAGACTGAAAAAATGCAAGCTGGCCGATGTCGACTCGGACACCCGGCCGGTATTTGTGGACGCACTCGGGGACCAGGGCAGGTGGGAAACACAGGGAACACATACCTTTAAGGCATGCTTCATTACATGTAAGGTATACGTAATTTTGTCAGTGACCACCTTTTCTCACAAAGCGAGATACCAAATCCAGTGTAGCTTGAAAAAAAAAACTTGTCAATTTAGGACGTTGCCGACCGTCCTGAATTTACCGTTAAGCGTTATCGGCCCTGCTGAATTTACCGTTAACCGTTGCCAGCACCCCCCATGCAGACCCTCCTTAAGGCGTGCGGCATAATAAGAAGCGTACGCGTGGACCATGTTAATCGTATATATGGTATGCACAGGAGGCTAGCTATTAATTTGGAGCGTAAACTAATACTAATTTATACACCTGGTCCGGAAAAATTATTGCTCAGTCCAACACTATTCGGTAACGTATTAAACATGCTTGAGAATACTAGTATGACGTCCTATCCAAAAGTAGGTCACGAGAGGTCATGGTTTGGTTATGTAAACAGACATGTCGGCCGTTACACAACAGGCGGATATCAAGGCCTGTGTATTACAGCTTTTAAAAAAACAACCACAATACACACGGCTAAAACCTGGATTAGAATGTATTTCTGTAGGAATATTACAACTGTCATTTCATGAAAATAGGTCACAGATGTTGTCTACACACATAAACGAACGCCCCACATTTTGTTGCTTTTTAAATAAATAATATAATCAGACAGAATTTACCTGTTGTTCCAGTCAGCCCTATCCTTCGCAGAAAGACTGCGGTACGCAGACGACATCTTAGCCGACAACACGGGCGAGATAACGTCCTGTATCGCCCAACTTACGGCGAAGGAACCCAGTACTATTACGGCATACATGCTTCTCTCTCTAGCACAACCACGTGGACTGTGGAATCTGACGTGCTACAGGCGATATGCACGACCGACTGCCGCGTGTACACAAAACGACAGGCTGCTGATAAAACTAACCAGAGCTCGGGAAAAATATTTCAAACATCGACCAGTTCGTCTAGGCAACGCCTGGTCCCGGCTATTAAGAATATCTTGGGGTAATTTTCTGCAGCAAGACCGCCTCTTGCGTATGGTAATTAGATCAACCGGGCCGGCCGGTTGGTTGTCCCAAATCCGCCTGATGATTAGGACTAATGCATTCATGTTGGGCGGACACTCGTCACCATGTCCTGATTGATGTTCCTGCAACGGAGATCGAATGACTCAGTTTGTTTGTATTGCACCCTCGCTCCTCAATGAAATAGTATACGGACAGTTTTCTTTGCGTCTCATGCCAAAGAGGATGGTCTTCATCTTGACTTGAGGAACAAGGAATTTCATGGATTACTTTCAATTCAGCTTTCGTATCATTTACACAAGACAAAATCTTTACCGAACATTTGATTAAAAGAAAAATAGGATGGAGTGAAATAAAACAAGAAGCCATAGGTGACAATCCTCCGTGAAGTTTTATATTTTGCAACAAAAATAATCCCAAGCCTCAACGCCAGACCTACTGTGCAGACATAAGGCAACGGTTAATACAATGAGGGCGCGTCACAACCATAAAACATAAAAAGACCTAAATCCATTACTGCTCTCAGGGCGTGTAAAGATACTGTGCTTCAAGTTCGAAGTTCATTTTAATTACACACACACAATCATTGCATTCACATAAAGATTGGACTATCATGGTCGTGTCACTAGTAACAAAGACAGCCCCACCGTCTTACCGTGCCTGTTACTTATTAAGCGCGACTGGCAAAATTCCAGCAACAGTTGCGGCCAGCACCGCGAGTGTTACTGCCGTGGTACCACTGATCGGCCCCTCACCATCTGCCTGAAGTCCCCCCCCCCCACTGCTATTCCAAACAACGGGTTTTTCTGGACCATTCCAATTTGCCTCATAACTATAGGGGTGCATCTGCAACATTACATTGACCGCGAAAGCAGCAACGGCAAAAATACACATTCGTGCATCAACACGGGCATGCCCGCAGACGGCGTATAAAATTGCATGCCGATTACACAAAGAGAACCCAGTGTTTTGACTGCGAACACGAAAAAACGACTCCGTCCGGAGGTCCTGACCTCCTTCATGGAGTAATAATCTTGTTGGATAGGCAATGGAGTCAGCTTGTCTACTGCAGACCTGTCGCGTAGACAGCGCGTGTTGTCGCTCGCTCCTAGCCTCTACCAGGCTTGAGGGCGCGGCTGGAAATAGTAGAAATTGGCCAAATAGAGAGATAACACACCGAGGGAGTTTAGCCATCCAGTTTACAGTTTGCCGGCAAACTGTAAACGTAAACGGCAAACTGTAAACTGGATGGCTAAACTCCCTCGGCGTGTTATCTCTCTATTTGGCCAATTTCTACTATTTCCAGCCGCGCCCTCAAGCCTGGTAGAGGCAAGCTCGCTCCCCGGTGTCAGCAGGCACGTGCTGTGGGGAGATAGAGTCAGACCCGCGACAGAAACACAACGTGATGGATGATTCAAACCTCGTACAACACTATAGGGATAACGGCCTAGGAACGGCCAAGGAACGGCCAAGGAACGGCCTAGGAACGGCCAAGGAACGGCCTAGGAACGGCCTAGGAACGGCCTAGGAACGGCCTAGGAACGGCCAAGGAACGGCCAAGGAACGGCCTAGGAACGGCCAAGGAACGGCCTAGGAACGGCCTAGGAACGGCCAAGGCACGGCCTAGGAACGGCCTAGGAACGGCCTAGGAACGGCCTAGGAACGGCCAAGTTCGCCATCACCGTCTGACAATCCGCTGTCTAGACGCGGTTCCCGTCAGATATAGAAAATATAAGCCGAAAGCATGTCCTGATATAAGTTGCGGCCAGCGCCGCGAATAGCTTAACTTCAGGCAGATGGTGAGGGGCCAATAAGTGGTGTGTTACTGCCGTGGTACCACCTTATCGGCCCCTCACCATCTGCCTCGAAGTTCCCCCCCCCCACTGCTTTTCCAAACAACGGGCTTTTCTGGACCATTCCAATTTGCCTCATAATTATAGGGGTGCTTCTGCAATATTACATTGACCGCGAAAGCAGCAACGGCAAAAATACACATTCGTGCATCAACACGGGCATGCCCGCAGACGGCGTATAAAATTGCATGCCGATTACACAAAGAGAACCCAGTGTTTTGACTGCGAACACAAAAAAAAACGACTCTTCACAACACTCCGTCCGGAGGTCCTGACCTCCTTCACGGAGTAAAAAAAGAACGCAAGCATATCTAGGGTCCTGCTCAGTGATTTTTTTTAGCGCTTCGTTTGTCTTTTCAGCAAAACGCGCTTATATTAGCCACGAACCACTGAGCCAGACCCTACATCTGCTTGGACTCCGTTCAGTCCCACGAGAAAACTCTTCTTCTTCTTCTTCTACTTGGTAGTCCTTCGAGAAAACTAGGTTGAATGAAAAAGTACAAATGTACATTGCATATCAATCAATAGTTCTTGCTTGCAAACCTGCACTAATGCACAAGTTCTCTAGTGTCACTGACGAAAGGCAGTGGGGCTCAAGTAGTGGATGCTACCTGACTGATACGTCTGACCATTTCCAAAATCGTTATGCTTGACTAACTTGTTTTTTGGCACGAATGGAAAAGGTCTCTGAGCCAAGTCTATCGCTCAGCTCAGTCAGCTTCTCGCTGCCTTCCCAGAACCTCGGCAGCAGCCCTCACCTCTGTACCGTACGGTCACTTCCTGTCGTGGACGTGAGTTGTTTTTCCTCACTTCCGGTCCGAGGTCCATCCGACTCCGAGTCAGTTGTTTTCAGAGTTTTGTACCGCGCAGTGTGCCTTTTTTTCCTGCTCTGAAACTCTACAGATCGAAGGAGAGGGTCAGTTGTCGTGCATAGTCTATGCTGTAATACCAATCCAAGCCGGAAAGGTAGAACCCTTGGTAGAACAGATAGCCCAAAACCATGAAGAGCACACTGGTATTGTGTGCAACTGTCTTCATTGTTCTGGGTTCAACGGCCGGAGGTGCAACAGAAAAGTAAGTAAACTTGTCCCGAACGTTAACACTATTGTATGCATAAAAGCTGGTTTGGCCGCAGTGAAATATCGTGCATCGTTATCATCACTTCTTGTACTTCTAGCTAATGCGTAGAGTGATGAGGGACAGTCCGTTTTATATGTCCAGAGAGCTCAAAAAGGCTTTATGCTCCGACCTTTCTTTCAATTGATTTGATGACTTGACCCTTCGGCTCCCTGTATTATCATGATCTTTTGTGTACATTGACCGTTATCCGATAACAATTCACCTTTGTATTGATTAGTTCAACGCTATTGTTTAGTGGACATTGTACAATCGACCAACGGAAGCCAACTGTGCATGTATGTGAGGTTACTCATATTTTTGTACCAAGGGCATTATGTGTATAATGTCCTTGATCATACCAAGTGCAAAATTCATCATAATCATAATGACATAAAAGTTAACTTTTTGGAGGAAAATACGACTGTCTATAAAAAAGACTGCGCCACATTTTCCTCCTAAATTTAACCCTTCTTCGGCCGGCCAACTAAAACTTACGCCAAGTTACATATGAGGAAGTATCCATTATCACGAATAAATCCGGGTACCACGTAGGAATTCCCCTATCCTTACCCCGTAATTTTGAACTTCCTTGACTGATTATGACACAGGAAATACCAGTATGTTTGTACACGAGTGGTCTCATCACACATTGCGTCATTTTGATCCTGTCAGCTTCGGTCTTTTGGACTCTAGGGACCTGCAGTACCGAGTGCGCCGCCAGGAGCCGCTCGCCTTTGCCAAACACCCTGTCAGTATCTCCGCGGAGCTGGAAGACACGGTCATCTTCGAATGCTCCGCGGAGTCCAACGGTGGACAGCCAACTTTAACATGGTATAAGGTAAACAAATGTCAACATGTAGTTTACTATTTTTATATTGTTAAAATAGTACAACACAAAGTGGTAACGCACTCAAGTAGCTAAGACTTATTTTAACGCTACCATTTACGGCTTAGCCTACCATCTATAAGATCTGAAAGGTACAGGAACAGTGCTATTCTATACCTGGCAAAACTCTTAAACAGTGCTTAGTCTACCTGTAATCACCCAACTACCAATTGTATATATTGTTGTTATTTAGTTTGGTTAAGTTTGTAAATATTAATGATATTTTTTGTGTTCCCTAAAATTACGTAATTCAGCCTTTTGTACAATACTTTGTATTATTAGACTGCAATGTTGTTTTAGTTTTATGTCAATTTGCAAATAAACCATTTATATATAATGAGAAACGAATACATGTATAACAGAAATATAGATGATAATGCATGTGTAATACAACGTGTTGTTTCAACACGTTGAAATAATAATAATAATAATAGCCAAAGGAACATTATGGCATAGGTATAACGATTCAAACGCTGTGATTTTGCTCTCTGTATGTCTGACTAGGATGACCAGAGGGTTACTTCGTCCCAGACCGGAATATTTCTCCTGGCCAATAAGAACCTGTTGGTGCTGGTGTCACGTGACAACCTGGGCACCTACACATGTCAGTTGGAGCTGGGTGGTGACGTCATCAGGACTGACGCCACGCTCACTTTACAATCAGGTCAGAGACATTAAAAAGTTGTTTGTCCCTGCAAACCGTTGTATGATGTATATGTTTTGGAAAGCAAAGCATAGTAATTGTCTTTTTTACCCATGCTTTTCTTCCTTCTTTTCTCGAGAAACACCTACTTTGAATTTCTTATATACACCATTCAAATTCGCCCACCCTTCAGAGTCATACGCATTACTCAAAGTTATAGACTTCTTTTCAAGTACCGTTTTGGGAATCAACAAGCTCATAGAAGGTCCGTTTCAGTCAGTTTAACTAGTTCGAAGGTATACAAAAAATAGTTAATTCTTTTGTTTATATCAAGTAAAACTATTGGCACTCAGATAAACTAATTGCTGTTGTTGTATTTGTTCTGACATGACATATGATCTAAATTAACATTCCAGACGAAGAGAAAATTGAATTTCTTGAACGGCCTCAGAACGCGTCTGTCAACTTTGGTGAACGTCAGGTGTTCAGGTACGTCTGTGTGTAGCTATGAGTAGTTCAACTGTGTCCTTTTACGAATGTATTCTAAGAGTGGTGGGGTACGTAAATGTAAGACAATTGATTGACACCGTGTCGTTTTATATGTGCTTTGGTGAGGCAACTGAATGCAACTGCGAGGAAATAAAATTATGCTTTATGAAATTATCATGCTCTGAGATATACAATACACAAATGCAGCATCTTGAATTTACATAAATACTGTATGTATTATTAACAAATATTGCATGCTACATGTACATGTATGTTGTTGACAGTACTTATATATTTTGTTGGCTTATATTATCTCAATACAGATAAACTTTAAGATACAAAAGATTAGAAATACAAAAATACTACATAAACCTTACGAGAATTTACCATGTAAAAAAACTCAAAGATTTGGTGTCTCTCCCCCTTTCTATACCGAAGGTGTAAGGTCGCTGGTGACCACCAACCAACATGGCTGAAGGACGCGAGCTCGATGTTCCTGGACGGACAGCGGGTGTTCCAGCATCGGGGGGACCTGCACATCACCTCCGCCACCGTGGCTGACACGGGCCGGTACACCTGCCAGGTCAGGAACGGACAACACACCGCGGAGGCGCACGCCTGGCTAGCTGTGAACGTGGACACTGAGCTGGGTATTATAAGTAGTCAACATTGCATCTTTTTCTACAATATATATACATGTAGTACAAAGGAAGGATTAAACTTACGCACGACTTAAGTTCTGTCAATGTCTCTGCTTGTTCGTACATATAGCCTTGACAAGACTAATAAACATTTCTTTTGACGTTAATATAGCTCTTCTACTACCTTTCCCAGAGCAATGCTAAATGGTTCTATGTCGTTTATGAGAAATTAATAAACCATTCAACTACTACTACTACAACAACTACTACTACTACTACTACATGTACTACTACTACTACTACTACTACTACTTCTACTACTGCTACCACTACACTGCTAGGTGGCGCTGCAGCACAAAGATGCGGTTCCAAATGTGACTAAGTCTCAGTATCCCCTCTTGTTCCTACATAGTCTGCGGTCGCCCGGTGTACAAGAAGGGTCCTGAAGGTTTTATCGTTGGCGGTACGGAGGCTGACCCCGGGACCATCCCGTGGCAGGCCATGCTGTGGGACGTCCGGCCCAGCAGAAACAGGCACTTCTGTGGCGGCGCGCTGGTCAACTCTCAGTGGGTCGTCACGGCAGCGCACTGCATTGTAGAGGCGGAGGTTACAAAGGACGACTTCATCGGTAGATTTGCAGTACAATATATACACGTAGATACAATATAATGATACACACGATGTACATCTAAAGCCATAAGTCTCAATAATAACTGCACGACATACAAGAATATGAAGTTTAAGTCGATGTCCTTTAATAATCAGTGACAAAGGTATTTCAATACTGACGTCACTTTCCAAACTGTTCTTCTACATTGATCTAGTTCGCCTCGGGAAGCAGGTGGCTAAGCGCGGGGTTTTGGAGGAGAACGAGCGGTCCTACACGGTGCAGGAGGTTATCGTGTACGAGGGATTCGTCCACGACACGTACGACGCAGATCTTGCGCTCATACGCCTAACAGGTAGGCGGCGCTTTTACACAGCTTTTACTTTTTTGCGCCAGGCCAGCGTCCGTTTTTCCGTCATCATTTGACGAAATTTTCAGTCAGTGCCACTCATGACGGACAAAATTACAACTGAACTGAATCGAAGGATTCTGTCCCTTCGTCAGTTATCTCATGTATGTAATGGATTAATCCAAGATGCAAGATGTTGTCTTGCCTATAACGTCATTTCAACCAACACTGTCCGATCTATTCAACATCTGCAGCTTAAATTCAATTACCAAAAGCTAAAATCCGATGCAGATAAGCAATTTTTTATCTGCCTCGTTGAAGATCCTTTCTAGAAACTGTTTTGAATTCCTGTATTCCAGAGAGAGTCCTATACACGGACTACATCCTGCCGGTGTGTTTGCCGTCCGTGGACCGGGCTAGGCGCCTCATCCGGCCGGGTTCGGCGGGGACTGTGTCGGGATGGGGTCGTGTGGTGGAGGGAGGACCTTACTCTAATGTACTGAAGAAGGTAAGCAATCGGGACGGGGGTCGCTACAGACTATCTTCCGCCTTCGACCCATTGGTCACGTCAGTCTGGAAGATGTTTTGAATGCCCAACTCCTCAGTTATCTTGAAGAAGACTAGAAATCCGATCCACTCATTGTGTTGGAAAACAGTTTTTATATGTTCCATAGACTAGTATTTTCTGTTATTTCATACAGTAGTGTGTAAAGAAATCTTCTTCAAAACACATTTCAAAAAGTTATAATTTGAAATTTGATTTGGGGAGTCTATTGTGAAGTTACAAAAATACACCGTTTAGATAATAAATCTTGTCTAAAGCCGCACTATACTTTCTTTATTTTCAGCGATAAATTTGGTTAGGCGGGTATTGAAAATAGATGTTAACAATTTTCCAAGACAACTTGTTACAGAGACTCCTCTGTAATTACTGGGGTCGTCTTTTAAAAATAGTGTAGTACTACTTAACATTCTGACGACCGTCCGCAGGTTCTGATTCCCAGGGTGTCCCAGGGGCGTTGTCGGAAGGCCCACCCACAGTATGACGTCACCAGAAACATGTTCTGCGCAGGTCGGCCCGGAGGAGGGGAGGACGCGTGCGACGGGGACAGGTCAGGGCAATACCAAATATGGTCATCAAATACCAAATATGGTCACAGGGCTGCAACACCAAATATGGTCACAGGGCTGCAACACCAAATATGGTTACAGGGCTGCAATACCAAATAAGGTCACAGCGCTGACAAAATATTATCTCTACCTAAGACCGCTAAGAATATCACTGGGCAACCAAAATTGGATGTGTATGACCTATGACTTTGGAATTGGAGTATGATCATTGGTTCATTGGTGTTAAAGTATGATTGTTAAGAACACGCACACACACACAGACACACACACACACACACACACACACATACACACACACACACACATTTCTGTAGCACCCTGAATTTACGAATTGATAGATTAAGGATATTGACGTATAAGTGTACTGTGTTCCAGCGGAGGTCCTTTCACTGTGTATGACGAAGACCGTGAGTACTTGCTGGGGGTGGTGAGTTGGGGAGACGGCTGTGCGTTGGCGGGAAAGTTCGGAGTGTACACTCGTCTGCACAAGTTTTTCACCTGGATACAAGCGATCGTAGTGGAAGGTACAGCCTTTTTTTCTCCATCCAAGATACTAGTATTCGATAATTTAGCTATAGCAAAGTTGAATACAGTAGGTCTTAATGTTCTCCATACCTAGTCAACGTTTCGGTAGCCCACCTGTAACCTTCCTGTGTGCAATACTGACCTTCTACTGCTAGGTGGCGCTGCAGTGGAAAGGCTGGTGCCCCACACGTGACTATGCTGGTATCACCCCTCGCCACAGTTTATGGCCAGAATAGATTTGAAAAAAAATTCATTGTCCAAAGCTGAATACAACTAGTATAATCTCCTTGAATGATTAATTGGTTGGTTGGTTGGTTGGTTGGTTGGTTGGTTGGTTGGTTGGTTGGTTGGTTGGTTGGTTGGTTGGTTGGTTGGTTGGTTGGTTGGTTGGTTGGTTGTTGAAATGATATTATGTCCATTTTGCAATGACAAATCAATTTTACAGAAGAATCGCAAGAGGACGCAGGGTGCGTAACTTCAAACCTCGGTGCCATCGCAAACGGCAGGGTGGTTGTTGACAGCAGCGCCACCCCCGCCCAAGCCCGGTACTTCTGCGACGCTGGATATCGTTTAGAGGGAGCCGCAGTGCGCGTGTGTGAAGTGGGCGGACGATGGAGTGACGAACCACCAAGATGCACAGGTCAGTACTTTTTTTCTTCATATCTATCTTAACACCTACACAACTGATTAAAGTGTGTCAATAACTAGTCATTGACATTGAGATGAAAGTACTGCATTACGAGCTATTTGCATATTTGGGACCTATCATTTGAGGTAGGTATAGGCGTTTCGTCGGTCTCGTACATGTAAGACCCTGAAGATACTTCGTCTACACCATGTACTTATTCATTTTTTTACGCTTGGAGCGCCTGATGATGAGTTCTAGATGCGAGTCTCTGTTTTTCTCCCCCTACCCCCACCCCCGTGTAAGCCCTTCTTATAATATGTGAACTTGCTGTCTCCAAAGCGTTCTGTTTGTTGCAAGTGTCTCGAATGTGTCAATACCTATGTCCATGGCTTTTGATTTATCCCATTTGAGGATAGATAACATAAAAGGTCTGGGGTAGAACATTTAGACAGCGCTGTCTTCATATAGCATTACAGTGCCCGCCCGTCGAATCCCCGAGAAACGGAGTCGTGCAGACACCAAGGCGACAGCACGGAGACATGGCCACGTACACATGCGACTCTGGGTACGAGCTGAAGGGGCCGAGAAGCCGCGTGTGTCAGTATGGACAGTGGGTTGGGAACGAGCCCAGGTGTGAACCCATGGGTGAGTATTGTTATACTCAATTTCATTGGTCAACTCAAACAGTAAAGTGTTATGTCACAGCGAGCTCTTGCTATGTAGTAACGCTATCCAATGTAACGTTAGCGCATATGTGCATGTATAAAATGCGGTTTCAAGCTATGGAGTGTGTCAGTCCTTTTTCTGGTAGCTTTTAGAAGGTGATCTTTAGTAATTGCAGGATAATTGTTTTAAGCGGCATGGTAAGCAAGCAAATTGAACGAATGCGTCACACCTTTTTGACACATACTATACTCTATAGTATGTGAGGCTAAGACATAAAGTACGTACTACGTTTGTCTTCACGTGCAAAAAAGATCATTACAAATTTACAAGTTGTCGTGAAATAAGATATATCACATTCGTGTAAATGATAATCATGATATTTCTTATAAAACTAGGTTGTCCCATTCCAAACCGACCTGAGAACGGCCACGTACGTTTTGAGACCCGCACGCACGGCTCCCTGGCGATTTACACCTGCACTGCAGGGTACGAACTGGCCGGGCCCCACATGCGGGAGTGCGTCAACCGACAGTGGACCGGCAGTCAGCCAGTTTGTGAGAAAAAGGGTAGGTAAACTCTTCCTTATAGGTTGGGATAGTCATATATGTCATCTAATCTTTCCCAACATTCACAGCAAAGCCACATTTTGTAGATGTAGGTTGACATTGTTCGAATACCTAGAAAAACAGACGACGAAGAAACATTTGTGGTAATTCTTGGAGAAAAAATCAAATAGGTTACAGCCTTCAATCACTTTTTATAGTTTTTAATGTTAAACGGATATCAAGCTGAACAAAATGCTGTATGATGTTGTTCCTTACCAGGGTTGTAACAGTGTTGACACAAGAATTCAGAGGGCCATTATATAGAGGACGCAATTTGACTAGGCTACACCTAGAACAATTGTAAATGTAAAGAATATTTCCCCCTGTAGCGGTACTGTGTCCGCCTGTCGAAGCCCCGGCGAACGGAGCCGTGCAGGTGTCGGGAAGACAGACCGGAGACAGGGCCAAGTTTACCTGTGCTCCTGGGTACGAGATTAGAGGGCCACAGAGTATCCTGTGTCAGGACGGAGTCTGGGCTGGGGACGAGCCGACATGTGAGCCCCAAGGTAAGGAAAGTGTTTTCTTATAACTTTGTACCATTTCCACTAGCGCGTGGTAATTTGTTGATTACTTTGTTGACTGGTTTTTTGATTCTGGGTCGTTTAAGGGACAATCTACAAGTCTGTGTCCGTTAAAACGACGAGTGTTTTGTCATTTTGTTATCTCTGACTGGAGGTTTTGTTTCGTTGTGGTTGTTTGTTCGTTTATTTCTGTTCTGTTTGAATGCGCACGGTAGAGTCACAGGATAGGATGATTATGTAACCACAGATTGTCAAGAAGGACGAATTGGAGGTCAAAATGGTCTAATTTGAGGAATGCATGTGTAGCATGTGCAGAAATTCACAATGAATGAAACAAGAAATTAACAACAACAACTACTATTTCTTATCATTGTTGTCATAAAGAAGAGGACTTTCCTCGTGACTGTACGGACTGGTACGACCAGGGACAGAGGGACTCCGGGGTTTACTCCGTCCAGCCTCGGGGCTCAGACGATATCTTCAGCGCCTGGTGTGAGTTTGAGGACGGTGTCTGGACAGTCATCCAGCGGAGACAGGACGGCTCTGTCGACTTCTTCCGCAACTGGCAGGAATACAAGGATGGTAGGTTACCACAGATAGACTGACTACACGTCTTTTTGGACGAATCATTCCTTCAGAATATAAGAAATGTATTCACTTGGGGATCTCTATACATTAGAGTTAAAGGATAGAGAATCCTTAACCGAGGTAAAGCATGATGCCATTTCTAGTAGTAGTCCAATGTGGCTTCGTCATATGCACGTCTCTAGTTTGGGGTCTACGTGTATGTACGTACATATGTATCACACAAGGGCACGTCTACTCTTTCGATAAATCTGTTGAACTCTTTGATATATATATCGAGTAACGTATCATGTTACAGTATACGCAAGACACCATCGTACCACCGAAAAAAGTTCTATACTCCTAGCTACTCGGATCTGAGTACCCTAAGGAATACATTGAAAGCAGTGATAAAATGTATGAAAGTTGGAACTGAAAATAATGCATGGTTAGCTAACATGGCTTTAGGCCGTTTTTCTATCAACAGAAAATGTTGTTTTCATAATGTTAGACAAAGACATGTAAATACATTCTGTGTTAAGGCCTAGGCATTACACGTTTCATTTCTGTTAAAGGTTTTGGTGATGTGGCCGGTGAGTACTGGCTTGGAAACAAGAATATCTACTTCCTGACCAACCAAGCAAAATACAAGCTGCGGATAGATCTGGAGGACTTCGACGGGCGAAAGTTCTTCGTCGAATATTCACAGTTCCGAATAGAGAACGAAGCCGACGACTACAGGCTTCGGCTCGGGAACCACTCGGGAAACATCGGGGATGGCATGACGAAGCTGGACCGAGACCAACCCTTCACGACTAAGGACCACGGCGCCAGGCAAGGTTCGCACTGCGCAAGGGTACAGAAAACGGGCTGGTGGTTTGGTGAGGTGTGCCTCAACTGGGCCAACTTGAACGGAATGTACAAAGATAGTGGTGAATACACGGGAGAGCAAAATGGCATCTTCTGGTTCCCACTCAGACTGATCGGCTACCCAAAGCTGCACTCCCTGAAAAAGGTGACCATGAAGTTACGCCGCCTAGCAGAACCTGGTGGAACAGGTGAAGTTAAGCCAACTCCAACACCGGCCCCAGAAGAGTGCACAGGACAATGTGGCGGTAGGTGTTATCTGTGAGATTTATGCAGGGTATAATGACCGCCATGTTGGTGTCCCTATTTATATCTCAATGAAGTACTAGTGTACACGTATACAGTATTCTTTTGTTTTATCGGTAAGTATTCTTCTGTTATTCCCGTCAAGATTGCAATTAGCAATAGTATACATTCGAACACTGACTGACCTCTATGTTTATCTCTTTTATATCCAGGCTCAAACTGTGATTTGAAAAGTGTGGTGAATCCGATTGACCACAAAACGTCTGGCTTTAACCAAGGAGCATGGATGAAGGATCCTACAGGAGACCCAGACACCATCTACTACATGAACAACTACTACGTAGGGTCCATTCTGGTCTACAGAAACCTTGACGACTTCAAGAACGATCGGCTGCAGAACACTATCAAAGTGTCTGCCTGTGGTACAGGCCATGCTATCTACAACGGTAACTTCTACTCTACAAGGTATCACAGCAACAAGATGTTCAAGATGAACTTAAAGACAGGAGCTACAGTTGAAAGAATCCTTCCGGACGCCGGAAGTAAAAACACGTACCACTATCAGGGAAAAGCTCTCACGGACATAGACTTTGCTGTCGATGAGAAGGGATTATGGGTAATCTACGCCACGCCCCAAAATGGCGGCCGTATCGTGGTGAGTCGACTGGATCCAGAGGACCTGTCCATCATCCAGACGTGGAATACGACGTACACGAAACGAAATGCCGCCAATGCTTTCATGATATGTGGAGTGCTGTATACAGTTGGTAAGTAACATTTTCCTCTTCAGCGTTCCTCTTCGCGTCTCCTTTTGTCCAAACTTTTTTTAATCAACTGCTAGTAAAACAAGCAGTACTAACGACGTGCCACCTGCTTGTGTGGCCCGTCGGAAAACGGAGATGAACGGAGATGAGCGCCGCCCTTTACACCATTTGATGTTGGACGCACCTAGACTTAAACTGGACTTAATGGAGCAGTGGACTTAATGGTGGGATAATAAGGGATTATACTATTTTCAACACTGAATCGTGACAGAAATTTCAGAGTTTTCAAACACTTGTGTCAAACATAGCATTTCTTTACATTTTTTTTTATTCTAATATTTCATGACTAGACATGGTGACGACACACTCAAGTTATGTCAACTTATTTTATGCCACCACCAACGCAGAGGACGAATACAGGACAGGACACTACAAGTGGGGAAAGGTGTGTAAAGTGGCACAAGATCGGTGGCATGTCAGGACTCGAACCCGGGACTTCTTGGTTCCGAGTCGAGCACTCTGCCGTTACACCACACGACCCCACATTTCTTTACATTAAGTCATCCTTGTTTCTTTTTCGCCAGTTCGGCAACGAGGGGTCGACTACTCCTTTAACACGACGACCGGAGAGGAGGGATCCCCCGGCCTGCCGTTCCCTACGGTGACCAGTGACATCCGGCATCTGTCGTACAACCCCCGGGAACGGAGACTGTACGCCTGGCGGGCAGGGCACCAAGTCACGTACGACTTAGAAATATCCGGCCTGCCTGACAAAGGTAGGTAGGAAGGTTGATGCTTGAGGTGCACAGGACATTGTAGTTATTAAGGACAGACATAAATTTAAGAGCAGTGTTAACCGCCACCTCAGTAACATTGGACAGCGTCCCTGTGACAGCTGCTAAGCTGAGACTGGCATTGTATAGATAAAAAAAAGGAAGTAGCCAGAGAGTAGACTGGTAACCATTCTGGCCCGGCCTTGGAGTTTTACCCGTCCAGTCCCGCTATACTAAACATTTGGTGCTTATATTTACAGCCTTTCCTTCTGATCATGGAGGATCTAGATTAACTGAATACCTTTACCTTAGACCTTAGTTCCTCCTGCAACTAGAATACCACCCTGTAAAAAAAACAGGAATCTTACGATGGGTTGATACTAGGCTACAAAGAGAATCATTTTGATTCATTTTGTCATTTTCGCCTATATTCTATTAACTAATTGCTGACATACGTTCATTTCCAGAGAGTCTACCAAAATTATGTAGAGGAAAATTGTGCAAAGGTATGTGAACTGTCTTCTATTCACCGTACAAATAGCATTATGGGTTTGCACACTTGCGGCATTCATTTTATGAATATTGTGTATCAGTATGATATTCATAGGCTTACTAGTTTAATGTTGTTTGTTTTGGAACATGTTGATGTATATAATCATTTTTTCTGTAGATTGTTCTGATGCTTTCAACTACCATAAACAAGATGGCGTCTACACAATTGAGCCAGAAGTGGGTGTGTCATTCCAGGTAAGCTGATTTAGATCATAAACGGTTCAAAATCAGGTAATGAATTAGACTTTTGTCAGTGTGTATATAGATGAAAAACAGTCTTCTTGTTATATGACAATTATGGGAGGAGAGAATTAAGCCTAAATTTCACCTTCTTTAATTCTGGAGAAAAACATAACAGTGGGTTACTTCTGTATAATACAGGTCTACTGCCGTATGGTTGATGGTGCTGGATGGACGGTGATTCAGCGGAGAAAGGACGGTTCTGAAAATTTCTTCCGCACTTGGGACGACTACAAGAATGGATTCGGAAGCCCAGGGAACGAGCAGTGGCTTGGGAACGAGAAGATCCATGCGCTCACCAAACGCGGCGTGTACAAACTCCGTGTTGACCTGACCGATTTCCAAGGAAATGAAGGATTTGCAGAGTACGACTTGTTTTACTTGGCGGGTGAGAAAGACCGGTACACACTGAGGCTGGGACGATACAGTGGCACAGCGAAGGATTCCTTAAGTTACCATGCAAACCTACCGTTCAGCACCAAGGACAGGGACAACGATGGTTTCTGGTCAAATTGTGCGGCCAATGACAAAGGAGGTACGTGGATAAGCCACTAATTTTCAATGCAATAATAGCAGATACATGCAGATTTAGATATGAAAGGCATAATTGGCAAGATTACATATAATACAACAAAGAGTTCAAATGACGGTAAATATTTAGATGTTTAAGTCTGACTTTGCTTGGTACCCGTAGGTTGGTGGTACGATGGTTGTTACGCCTCCAACCTGAACGGACAGTGGTACCCAGCGGAGTCCCACACACGGCACCCTGACGGACTGGTGTGGTGGCAGTGGCCGTACTGGGACAACAACTACCACTTCTCACTTAAGTCTACGGAGATGAGGATCCAGTTCCAACCAGACGCTCAAGGTAAGGGGTGGCATACGCGGTTCAAATAGGCAATCTTCAAACTGAAATGTATCAATTACCTATTGTTCTATCTCTGCAGAAGGTCATCGCTAAATGTCTGATTTTGAAAGAAAACTGCGAATGCAATTAAACTATTAATTAAGATGCGATTATTTTTGCAGATACTGAATTGTACGTAGACTGTGACGCGGTGAAACGCTCAGGAGAGCGGGTTACCGGAGTGTTTTGGATCCGTCCGAGGGAGACGGTTGAGCCTTTCCCCGTCCACTGCGACTTACAAGACGGCGATGCCGCCTGGACCGTCATCCAAGAGCGAAATCACACCGTGGGGGAGAACTTCACGAGGGGTTGGGAAGACTACAAGAACGGCTTCGGCGTCATTTCCCGAGAATACTGGCTTGGTAATGACAAGATACACCAACTCACTAAGGACGGGGACCACAGAGTCAAGGTCCAAGTTCACTCGTTCAGCGGTCTACAAAGATCGTACGAGTACGATAACTTTAAGGTGGCAGGAGAAGATGAGAACTACCGCCTGACGTTGTCTGGTTTTACAGGAGCCGGTTCGTGCATGGAACGTGTTGGGACCGACTTGAACGGGATGGCGTTCAGCACCATGGACAGGGACAATGACAAGGTCGGCTACAGTTGTGCGGAGAGATGGAAAGGAGGATGGTGGTATAGAGGGTGCACTCAACTAATACTCAACGGGGTTATTAAGGAATACAGTGGTCACGAGGAGTATCGTGAAGTAACGGGAAGAGGAGAGGGTCTTTGTAACGTTTGCTTACAGCAAGGCCCACCCGTGTCTCTAAATTGGGTCAGTATCAAGATACAGGCAAGGGAGCAGCCTGACGTGTATCGGGACTGTGATCACGCCCGTAGCGATGGGAAAACAGCCAGCGGGATCTACCAGCTTCAACCTCGGGGGGCAACCCAACCTTTCTCCGCCTTCTGCGAGATGGAGTCTTCGAAGGGAAGCTGGACTGTGATCCAAAGACGAACCAAACAGGGCACGGTTAACTTCACCCGAGGCTGGGAAGACTACAAGAGAGGGTTCGGTGACCTGGAGGGCGAGTTATGGCTCGGGTTGGAAAACATATTCGCTCTGACGAACCAGGGACAATATGCGCTCCAGATAGACTTCAAAAGCTACACAGGGGTTTCCGGCTACACTCTATACTCCTCCTTCAAAGTTTCCAGCGAGAGTGATCACTACCGCTTGCACCTGGGGAACAGGCGAGGGGGCATAAGCGACTGTCTGAATACTCGCTCCACAGGGAAAAACGTCACAGGAATGGCTTTCACGACATTTGACAGGGACCATGACATGGCACGCTATAATTGTGCAGAGAAGTACAGAGGTGGCTGGTGGTTTAACAGCTGTTCCAGCGTGATTCTCAACGGAGTGAAGAAGTACTGGAGAACCCATGATCAGTACTACCAGGAGGTTCGCCAGGGTCTCGGTCTGTACAACGTCTGTCTGCAACAGGGGCCGCCAGTCTCTCTGTCGGACGTCACCATGAAGATATCTACATTCCCTAATTTGTCATAGTTCAAGTACATGACTTTGTTATCAATTAGCATCTAAGCTTATGAAACTAAAATTTAACCTTGTAAATGAATGTCTTTGTGTGCATTCAATAATCGACGGCAGTAAAATTTGTGGTTCACGTTTTTTTTCAATTATTTTTTATCAAAGCATATGTGCTGATCTCTGGTTACCAAACCTTTTTATACCTCCCGAGTCCTACCTCTCCGCAAATAGGTCTGGGGGCTGTAGGACTCCGGAGCTATAATAGGTTTGGTAACCAGGGTAGCTGATCTCACCAATAAGATTTGTGTACGTATGTGTGTCAATCCTTACTTAACTTCGTTTGATGGTAGCGTCTGTTTTGCTAGGTTTCCTGTGCTTGTTGATGTTATGGCATTTGTAAGACATCCAGGGCGTCTTGGTCTGAGAAGTCATTTTGTAAGACATCCAGGGCGTCTTGGTCTGAGAAGTCATTTTGTAAGACATCCAGGGCGTCTTGGTCTGAGAAGTCATTTTGTAAGACATCCAGGGCGTCTTGGTCTGAGAAGTCATTTTGTAAGACATCCAGGGCGTCTTGGTCTGAGAAGTCATTGATTTCCATTGCAATGCTTCTGAGTAAAACACCACGAATGCTTTTAAACTGTACGGATTCCTGTGGAATGGTTAGAAGTTTGCCAATTGTTACATACGTTACTATTAGGCTCGCCACTGAGGCGTCGCTAAAAACAAACAAACAAACAAACAAACAAAACACGATACCAACTTGTTTCGAGGTTTGTAAGCTGTGAACTTTAGAAATTGTGACTATCAACTAGACTTCAAGTGAGCACTTTTCTTCTGTCAGACAGAATGATGTAGGAACAAAGCAGGCAGTGAGAGTTTTCTGGAGAAAAAACATAGGAGGAAAACGTTCTCGTCTGTGGCGAGTGTGACTTCCTAAACCCCTGATATCTTTCACTGATTAACTGTTATTATGTTTAGTGACATCAGACATTGGAAGACTTGTTTACGTTGGTATCTATTACCCCCTATTCCATTTTATGTGCCACGACATGCGTCCAAACATGCAGTTTAGAGCGCCCACAAAAGCGTTCTAATTATCATATTATTTATGTACCCGAGGGCTTAAATTATCAGCAACCGATATCAGTAGGCTTGTCGCCTAAGGGTGACAATTTTAAACTACAGGTATTTGTGTGTGGAAAAATGACTTTCCACCTTATTTAAGCCGTAGAAATATTTTGAACCAAAATTTATAAAAAAATCATAAAGGCACAACAGTACAGGCATCGACAGTAGCCTGTATAAAGAACCGTGCTGGTGTAACTTATCTGTGTCTTGGTGTTGGATAGCATGCAAAGAAGATTGGCAGTTGCCACTGATAGGCACAGTATGTCAGTAGTGCAAAAAAGACTGTTAAAAGGAATGTCAGGAAAAACTTTCAATCAGCACCGTTGAATTTGTGGACAGGTGGTGAGTGGTACAACAACAGCCTTGACAGTCTGTTGTGAAAAGCACCTTAATAAGACAGCCTTCTGAACTGGATACACTGGTTTTGCTTCACGAAGCATAACAAATTGATATAAATTACGACCCCTTTGCACAAAGCGCAAGGATACCTGGTGGAAATGAAGTTCGCCTTCCCAACTCAACTTGTACCAAAATACAACATTTGAAAGCCCATAGATACTTCAGGTAATTTTTATAGTAGATCTCAAGCGATGTAAACCCAAACAATGGTCCAGCGAATAATTAACCTATTTCAATACCACGCACTACTTTTTGAACCTCAGTGACGCGGAAGATTCGGGGTGTGTACCCCAGAAGGCATCGAGACCAACGTTAAGCTTCGTTTTGCTGGTGTTGTCAGCGTCGCCATTTTTTTGCGACAGGTGAGCTACAATTCTTATTTCTTGCCAAACATTTGACATTAGAATACAACAGTGACATGGTTGAATGTCTTTATTCGCCTCTCCAATCTGTGTTAATGTGCATATATTGGTCTTTCCGCTTAATTAGGTTGACAGTGATCTCTAACCTATTTAGCTCGCAAAAGGGCTACCCCTCCACTCGTCGCGACAGAAAAGATCGTAGATATGTACAGAAAAACGTTGCAGGCCATCTTTAGACGACTGCGCCAGTGCTAAACACTATACCTCCGTCCGCCACCATTTCTGTACTTAAAAATGGCACTGCAACCAAATCCAGTCTACCAGCCTGAGCAAATCTCCCGCGGTACATTACAAGCTGTCTCGCAAGGCAGAAAGAAACGATCAAGAGAGAGTAGTGAGGATGATGCTGAAGAGTTGAACGAGGCTTTGATGCAAACTGCCATCACGGAACAAGGAACACCCTATATATAGAGAGATAGACAGATAGATAGGGCATTGCTTTCGCGTCACGTGTATCAATCCTTTTTGTGTAAGAGTGTCCTTGGCACGATCCAGTCGAACAACTTCAGCTGCACTCTTGTGCCCTGAGCTAGGTGAAACGTTTTGCTACAAGGGAGTATTCAACGAAGCTGGGTTAATCTGTCGGTGGCGCAACGGTTAAAGCGTTTCATGCGTACTGTTAGTGTATATATCTATAAAATTATTTTATCTATCATGAAAATACAATAGCCACGGTGTGGCATTTGCTTATGTCGATTTACCTGAATCTTGCCCTAGGAAAACCGCGGAACGAAGTATCATGGATACCCCTGATTGTTCTACCGAAGGCAGCATCAGGGCTGGGACCACTTTAGTCCTTCAACCTTCAAGAAGTAATGAGGCTAGGTATGTTTTTCGATGGCGGATTTTTCAATGATGCTAGGTTGCAGATATTTCGGAAATTGCATACATCGAAACCAGATTCCTAGAAACTTCATGGCCTCTACGTCAGGGGAATAATTGGAAACAGACTTTACCCTGTTGATTTATACATATGTGCTAACCATAGCCAAATAATTGTCAGATTGAAAAACTGTGTGATACCTTCC